CCAACATAGGATTTTTTAAAAACAGGTGACAACTATATGCTGCCTAGAAAAAACCCACTGTAATTAGGAAAGAGAGAGGGGAAAAGAAAAGGTATGCATAGGTTAAAAGTAAAGGATGGGAAAAGACACACCACACCAACGCTGGTCAATAGAAAGCTGGAGGGACCATGCTTAAATCAAAATGAATTTCAGAGCAAATCAGGGACATTTCCAAACTATAAAGGCATCTGTGAAAAGGACACAACATTGCTGTAACAGATCGTCCAGATACATGAGGCAAATACAGTCTGAAGCACAAGAAAAAGAAGACAAAGCACAATTACAACCCAAAAGCTCAAGCCCTCACTCCCTAAGGGATAGAATAAGTAGCTAGAAAATCTGTAAGAAGATTGAGCAGCACTTTCAACCAACTCGGCCTGGTCGACATGTCCTAGAACATGCCCCTCAACCATGGCATCATGGGCCTTCAAAGTTGGGGTGTTACCTGGGTCCAGATGGGTGGAATGTCAAGGGCAGGGGAGGAGCCTGGGGAGGAAGCATCGACAGACACCAAGTCTTCCAAGGGTTGCGCATGCAGCCACTCCAACCTTTAGGGGTTGGGAAGAGGAGAAGGATCCAGCAAAAGGGGACAGAGAAGGAGTGAGGCTATGAGGAGGGCCAGGAGAGGCCACCAAAAGTCAGGTAAAGGGAGGGTGTGCCTGCGGTCACAATGCTGCCCAGTGGTCAAGCAAGATGAGGATTCGGATAGGTGTCTGCCCCAGAAGTACAAAAACACCAAAACAAAGGGAAACCTGGACTCCGTATTTACTGCAACTCAATAGCCAAGATGTGGAAACAACCTAAGTGCTCCCAAACAGATGAATGGATCAGGAAGATGTGGTATTACACAACAATGGAATATTACTCAGAGACCAAAAAAAGATGAACTCATGCTATTTGCAGGAACATGGAGTTGGAAGGGATTATGCTCGGTGAAATAAGCCAGGAGGAGAAAGATGAATACAGGATGGTGTTGCATGAGGAATACAGAGAAACCGAAGAGTCAGACAAAGGCAACCTTTAAATTGAACCTTTGAAAATGTACCTAAGAACTGGGGATTGTGAGGGATGCAAGGGGAACCCTGTGGAATGCTGGAGGACCCTGGTGACTGCGCCTAAAGAGGGGAATCCTATACTGTCAAAATTAACAAGGATGTAAAATATGGTACTTGAATTAAAAAAAAAAAAAGACGAGGATGGAGAACTGGTCCCTGGACTTGGCCACGTGGCGGCCTCAGTGGCCTGGACAGGAGCACGCGCCCTGGAATGTGGAGGTCAGTATGTGCAAGGCCTGGATGCAGGGCAGTCCCCGTGCACACTGATTTTCAAGGAATTTTGCAACAAAGGGCAGGGAAGTGCTGGAGAGGCACTGACAGGGACAGTCCACGAGGGAAAATTTGAGAGCATGGGGAGAATTTCAGAGGTGATGTCCTTATGGGCAGGGAGCGGTAGCCTTGCTGGGGACACTGTCCTTAGACAAGAGGAAGAGCCAGGTATCTCCAGGGTGTACCCAGGAGAGAGGCCATGACTTGTCTGTCCTTCTGAGGACAGACTTCTGCCCCTTTCTGGGGGGGCGGTGGGATGGCTGTTCCTCCAGGCACCGCCACTGCTTGCTCTGTGACCCGGGACAGGCACCCCGGTGACCTTGGGAAGGTGCGTCTGGTGGAAGCAAAGAGATGGTGGGGCAGTGGGCTGGGGAGGGGTCCTCCCTGCAGAGGGAGGAGTGGGTGCACAGTGTGTGGTGGGGTGTGTGCATGTGTGCCTGCCTCTCACCCCTAGACGGCGCCAAGAGCCTGCTCTGTCCCTGAGGTGCCCTTGGGCCCTGTGCGCTCCCCTCCCCACTGCACATCCCCCCTTCCCCCGCACCCAGCCAGTCTCAAAACCTCCAGGAGCAGGATTTGGACCCAGCCTCACCCTGAGCCCACTTAGCAAGGAACCCAGACAGCAAACAAGGTGGGACTTGGGAGAAGCTTGGTCTGAAAGCGCCGGGAGGGGTATTGGGTGGAGGCGGGTAGCCCAGGCGGCAGTGGCCTGCACTGGCTGCCGTAGCGCGATCTGAACCCATGATGTGGCCTGTGCGGTGACAGGCCACCTCTGGCCCCTTCAGCACCCCGTTCCCGGGTGAGGCTTTGGAGTCACAGGCATTAACTGAGTATCCCTAGGGTACAGGCCCTGCGGGCGCTAGGAAGGAGCCAGTGCAATGAAGGATGGGGGAACAGACGAGTAGGAGAGTTTTGTGTGGAATTTGGAAGGAGAAGAGGGGGTCGCAGGTGCAGAGCCTGAAGGAGGGGGCCAGGGGCCTTCTGCTGAGTGACTCGGCCAGGACAGGGTCAGGAAAGGGAGCAGAAGAGGGAGGACGGGATGAGGCCCCATGCGTGGCTCCCAGCTCCAGACACAGGAGCCATCCAGGGCAGAGGGGTGGGGCATGTACAGCACCTCCTCCCTGCGGACAGTCATCAGCACTTTCTGCAAAACGACAAGTGCCCTAGCAGCCATCAGCCCCCCTCAACTTGCAACCAGTTCCTCTCCGTCCACCCACCCACACCAGTGGGAAGCAGATTCTCCTGTGGACAGGAGGGATCTGAGAGCCAAGCCAAGCAAGGGTGGGAGAGGCCAGGTTTGGGGGGCCCTCACCTGTACCTAGATCAGCTTGGGGAGCAGAGTCCTGTGGCAGGAGACCAAAGTGGCATCTCACAAGAAGCCCCCTTGCTTTTAGCCTGGGGCAGTGTAGCCAGCCCCACCAGGTAAGAGCTGAGAACACCACACACAGCCACCATCAGGCTGCGCGTGTTAAGCCCTTCAAGTGTCAGGACAGATGACCAGGGAACAGATGTGCGAGTACTTTGGGCCAAGGGCCTTGGAGTCTGGCTGTTCAGGTCCTTCTGCCGTCTACCCTCTCGGGAATAACAGACATTTTTAAATTTCAAGCCTAGATCATGAGTCTGCTTTCTGGTGCTCCTGCCTGGGTGCCAGGTGCGGATGTCTGCGTGGCTTGGATCCCTGCATGGCTGCATTTCCAGGCGGTGCTGACTCACGGTGCAGCCTGCAGGAAGCCTCCCCACTCCCAAAGCTGCTGCAAGTATGGTCCATGCAGAGTGCGCCAAACTGCACCTAGTACATTTCATCTCCATCTATTCCTGCCCCTAGGACTTTGGTGGATCCCTTAGCTCAGCATCCAGTATTAAAAAAGCACTTGATGGGGCCTCCCCGGTGGTGCAGCGGTTGAGCGCTGGGTTGCGAAGCTGCCCGCAGCCTCTGCAGCGCCGGTTCGATCCCCAGCTGCTGCCACCAGGGTCCACATGGCGCACAGACTCCTGCCACCGCTGCTCAGCAGTGTCCTTCAGTCCTTCTGCCTGCTGCTCCCCACTCTGGCTCTGGTGAATTCTCTCACCGCGCTTCTGACTGGACCCAGTGCAAATAAATAAATAAATAAATCTTTAAAAAAAAAAAAAAAAGCACTTGATGGGCCTCCCCTGGTGGTGCAGCAGTTGAGCTGTAAGGCTGCCAGCAGCCTCTGCAGCACCGGTTTGTCCCCCGCTGCCAGCGAGGGTCCCACAAAAAAAAAAAAAAAAAAAAAAAAAAGCTCTTGGTGTCACTCTTGGTGGTGTTATTATTCATTACTGTTAGGATCAAGCCCGACCTCATTACTTTATATTTTTCCAGGAAGAAGAGTTAGAGCTGTCTGGGCATGTCACACACAGGTGGGCTGCTGGAGAGCAGGAGGGGGTATTGATCTATTGCCTCCTCCATTAGTTCCTTAAAGACAGAGTCATCTGATTAGTCTCCTCATCCCACAGCCCTTGGGGCTGGCATCCGGTGGCTGAGCTAAGATAAGCATATTGTATGTTTCAAAGTTTTCCAGAGATGATTTGGGGGAATCAAATCATACCATCATCCCATCCACCAATCAGGACTTGGCTCTCTGACTGTGCACTTTGATACAAAAATAACACCTTTGGTTTCCCTTCCTCCACTCAGTTTAAGAAGCAAGTTGTGACTTTCAAAGTTTTTTTATTAAAAAAAAGCAAAAACCTGCCGTTTCTAAACCAACAAGGGGGGCAGTCTGGGCCTGTCCTTATGCTGCCTCCCGGGGGTGGGGGGGGTGGTCCCATCAGGTGGGAGCTGGGGGGAGCCTTGGCGGTAAGGTGCCCCACCTTGCTGGGCACCCAGGGAGCGAGGCCCACAGAAGGACAGTGCCAGCCCTAGCTGCTACTGTTCTAGGTGGGTGGTCTCACGTAGGTCTCCCCCCTGGTCCTCCAGTGACCTTGGGGGCAATGACTTTTGCCATTAGCAGCCTGGACCCACAGCAGCGTGGCCTTACCCTTCCCTTCGGCGCCATCTCCTGACTTTGCTTCTCACAGGCCCTGCAGTCAGGGCGGCGGCCACCACGCTCAGGCCCCTCTGCCCTTGCAGAGGCCATTTCCTCTGATGGGAACGTCCTTGCCCACCTCCCTCTTACCAGCCTAGCAAGTGCTTCCCCCAGGTGCCTGGACACGTCCCTCGTCTCCTCACCCCCAGGCCTCATTTCCCTGTGTATATATCTCACAGCACATGCGTCATCACCGCACGGCAATCATTCATTCATTCATTCATTCATTCAGGGCGAGAGCACAGGTACAGTGCTTAGCACAATGGTGGGCACAGATAAGTGCTTAAAAAAGTTCCCCCTTTATCACGAATATCATTCATTCACTCGATGTTTACTGAGTGTCTCAGGCTTTATGCAGTTCGCTGAGACCCCAGCAGTGAACTAGACGTTCGCAGCCCCTGACCATCCCCACTCCCACCCGCGCCTGAAGTCAAGCTCTCATCTCCAGCGTGGGCGGTGCGGCGGCTGCGGGCGCCGCCCGGCGCTGGGACTACAAGTCCCAGAGGGCGCCGCGGCGGCGGCGGCGGCGGGAGGCCTGCGCGCATGCGCGACGTGGGGGCGCCAGTGCGGCGGCGGGCGGGGCCGGCGGGGCGCTGCCTTTAGGGCGGAGCCGGCGCCCGCTCGCCTCAGTCGGCCGTGGGCAGCGGACGGTCCGGCTTCGGCTCCCGCGTCCCTCGCGCCCCTCGCGCCCGCCCGCTCTCGCGCCTTCGCGGTCTCCTCGCGTCCCTGCGGCCCGAGCGCGGCGCCATGTCGGAGCCCGGCGGCGGCGGCGGCGAGGACGGCTCGGCCGGCCTGGAGGTGTCGGCCGTGCAGAACGTGGCGGACGTGGCGGTGCTGCAGAAGCACCTGCGCAAGCTGGTGCCGCTGCTGCTGGAGGACGGCGGCGACGCGCCCGCCGCGCTGGAGGCGGCGCTGGAGGAGAAGAGCGCGCTGGAGCAGATGCGCAAGTTCCTGTCGGACCCGCAGGTCCACACGGTGCTGGTGGAGCGCTCCACGCTCAAAGGTGCGCGGCGGGCCGGGCCGCTTTGTCCGCGCCCAAGATGGCCGGGCGGGCGGCGGCCGCGCCGGTCACATGAGCGCGCGCTTTCGCGTCGCCGCGGCCGGCCGCGGGCAGGGTCGGGCGCGGCCACGCCGGGGGATGCGGGCCCGGCCCCGGGCGGCCGCGCCAAGGTCACGGCCGGACCCCCGCCCCGCCCCGCCCCGCCCCGCGCGGCCGGCCCCGCAGGCCCCGGCCCGGGCGCGGGTGACAGCTGCCCGCTGGGTGTGGCCGCGACGCCGAGCCGCCCCCGGGGCTGCCGCGGCGCTGGGCCGCGCTCGGGCCGGGGCCTCGCCGCAGCCGCCGGCTCCTGCTGGGCTGTTGGCAGGGCCGCGAGTGGCCGGGCTGCTCCGCCCCGCAGACCCTCCTTCCTGGGCCCGAGAGGCCCCTGCCGCCGAGGCCGCCTCTCTCTCACTCCGGGCCCTGGAAGCCCCTCGCTGTGCTTTTCGCTCGCCGGCTCGCAGGGTGTGGTCGTGACCCGCGGGGTACTGTGCAGGCAGGATGGAAGCCCCGGACTGCCTCCGTCCAGGCGCCGCTCGGTGGCCTTTTGCCATCTCGTTGCGGTCATTTTCAATGAAAGGGCCTGTGTTTGTCATGTGCCCGTGTTCTTACAGCGTGGGTCATCGGCCCAGGGCTTTGTCCTTTTCCTGGGCGGGGACCGGGCTCCTGGACTGCAGCAGACCGGCTGCTCTAGGCCCCAGAGCAGCGGTGAGGCAGGCGGCCGGGGCGCGGTCAGGGAGCCCTTGGAGGGCAGGTGTGGGGAGTGGTTCCCGGCTCCGCGATTCTGGAGCGTCCTGCGGGGTGGGAGATGGTCCGTCTTGTGGAAAGGGCCGGCGGTCAAGCTGTGTCTCAGTCTGCCTTGTTTGTGTGCTTGAGTGGTCTGACCTTGGCTGTACGTGTTCGTTTTTTAATTGTGCAGTTTAGGCACCGAAAATAGGTGGTTTCCACCTTAGGTTTTAATTTTTTTATGGAAAAGCTTGGTAAGTTTCGTTTTTGTTTCCAGAGCACCCATTGGTATTCATCTTTCAGAAATCTTAGAATTTGAACTTCATTAAAATTACCGGGGCTAATTATTCTTAGCATGCTTTCTAGAACAAATCATCTCTCCTTTTCTTTGTGGTCAGATTATTTTCTCAGCACGTGAATGTGCAGGCATCTGGATCCTGGCTCCATAATGACTTGCACTTTTGAAAGTTGTCTGAGGAATGAGACAATCTAAAACTGAAATCCTATCTCATTCTTGTATTTATAAACTGGTGTGTGTCTGAATCCTTCAACGTGTCATATATTCCTCGTGCAGAAGTCTAAGGGGAGACTGACTTGTAAGCACCTGCTACATGAGCATGAATTGGGCGAAAGTCCCAGCCCAGGTCACTTGGTAGGAGGGCTTGCTTCCGAGTGATTATTAGGAGTTAATTTGACATATGTTTGTTTATTTATTTTAAAGATTTATGTATGCATCCAAGAGCTGGAGTGTAGGCCAGAGATGCAGGGGCGTGAGAGGATTCACCAGAGACAGAGTGAGGAGCAGAACAGGCAGATCCACTGAAATTCATTGCTGAGGGGAGCAGCGGGGAAACAGGAGAGGTCTAATGCGCCATGTGGGTCAACTCCTTGGGGGGGGGGGGTGTCGAACTCATGCCTCAGTGGCTGCCTATGGCGCCTAAACTTAACCCCTTGCGCCACCAGGGAGGCCGACATTTGTATATTTAATCAATTATGATCATCTAGTAAATTAAAGTGAAAAGGTAGAATTGCATGTTAATATGGAAAACAAATCTAAATTATTTAAGCTGAATAAGGACCACAGGCAACAGTGAAGTCGTATAATTTATCTAATGAACAGGGGAAAGTGCTTCAGTTTTCTCCCCCTCTTTTTTTAAGAAAGAATTTTCTGTGCTTGTTTCAGCAGCACAAATACTAAAATCAGAACAATATATTCATAGAAAGAATTTTCCAAAATCTTGTAATTGAATTCAGAATTCTCTTTAAACATGAAGGTCAATCTCTATATCAATTTTTAATTATCTCAGCTAATACAGACCTTTTTTTTTTTTTTTGGTCAAAGTATAACAGTCCTTAAAGTATAAAATAAAGGTTGCAAATTTAGCAGTGTATTTTGATGGTGAAGAATTAAAGAGTTGGCAGAAAGGGGAATGTTAAATTATTGTTCCTCATTGTAAAAAGAGAATGCCCCTTTTCTGTAATCCTTGGCCTAAAGGGAATTAATTTCTTCACGGTGTACTTGTGGAACCATGCCCAGTAGATGCTGGTCACAGGCATTTTGCTGATGGTTTTTTTGGTACTGCATTTTATGCACCAAAAGTGCGTTTGGGGCTGTTGAGTCCCGTGGAGAGGTTGGTGGGAACCGGGAATGGGCCGGGTGCTCCTGTGCTGCTGTTGGGGCTGGAGGTCCTGGAACTTGACTCTGAGCCCCAGCTAGTGACCTCTCGGTCGCTCTGGCCAGTTGGGATCGGATGCTTTTTGTTTTTTTTCACACCTTGGTCTCATAGCCTGGGCATTTGTCTCCAAGACTGAAGACAACCACTGCCTTTAGTCAATGGCTTCATTTAATCCCGCCTTCTAGCCTTTCCTGAGATTTGGGGTGTAGGCAATAGAGATAGCACGAGACCAGGATGGGAAAGAAAGCTGGGGTTTGCCATGGGACTCAGCTTACTGGAGAGAGTCACGGGGAATGTTTTTGTGGATTTAAAACTCTTTTCTGAGGGTGAAGAAACATAAAGGGTTGATGGCTAAAATGTATTCATCTGTCCTTGGCTTAGCCCCCCCCCCCCCCCCCCCCCCCGCAGTGGTTCACAAAATGGTTAATGAGTGAATGGGAAGAGTTTTGTGACCTGGCACTATCTTGATGGTTTTGGAACACAAGACTAGGAGTCCCTGAACCTGGGTTCTGACGTCCTGTTGTGGCGCTCTGGGCAGGACAGCCCATCGCACCCGGGAGCCAGCCTGGCGCAGAGGTGTGGCTTTTGCTCAGGGAGGAAAGCAGCCAAGGCTTATTAATTAAAAAGTAAAGGTGGGAGGAGATTCTGTTCATCAGCATCATAGAGTATCAGGCTGGGAGCAGCGGGCAGGATAGAGTTAGTCTCGCCGCCTCTGCTGTGAGGAAGTCTGAAGGACCCAGTCAGTCAGGAAAAAAAAATGTTTTAAGGAAGAGCCTGAAATCTGAAAACGAATTTCTCTCTTCAATTCCTTGGTATCTGGGAAAAGAGTATTTGTTTTCATTTCATATCAGTTAAATCTTTTGTATTTGTACCAACCTTAAACAGTATTAAGTTCCTTGGGCATTAATAACTTTAGTTTTTTAATTCATTTTTTCCCCCTAAAGTAGCACAATGTGGCATTGACTGACTGTCTTCATGTTCCTAACAGTGTTGCAATTGGAAATCTTCAGGTTGCAGAGAAAACTGGGACTTTGTCCCCAAGGTCTCAGCTTTGCACTGGAGCAGGGAGTGGCCAAGGCAGAGAAGTCAGTTCTCCCTCAGAAGGCGGGAGAATGGACATGGGGATGGCAGGGGAAAAACTAAATAAAGCACTGCATGAGGGGACGGGGGCAGCAGTAGAGTGCTCCGCCAGAATGATGTGTTAGGGTGGTAGGGGTTTGAAAGGCCAAGATGAAAGCTAAGAGTCAGGAACATGTAATGAGCGACTTGGTGGTGTGGGGGGGCTAAAGGACAGGGCCTGCGGCCTTTGCTGGACTCGCAGTGACCTGCCCTGGCTGAGAGTGTGGCTAGACGAGCTTCTGGAGAGCGGGCGAGGGCACGGCCATGGAGCAGGCGCAGGGTGGCCTCCCGCTCCCATTTGCCAGTTTACCAGACGAATGAGAAAACCCCATCTAGTGAGGCCAGGAGGTGAGTCTTGGGGTAACTGAACGTGCATCCGTTATTTTAATACTTCATTAAACAAAGCATAACGCTCTAATTCACAGTGCAGCAGTGAGATCACCCAGAGCCTGAACTACGTCCAAGTCCTTAAACAGAAGTAGACAAAGATTAGTGCTAGATGACATTTTGAACATCTCTGGAAATTTGATAAACTCTAGCGTCCACCCCAGAAGTGCCCACAGGCTGCAGCCATGTGCAGGGGGACTTGCGGCAGCCGAGCTCCCAGGCCTCGGAGCCCTGCTCTGGGTGCTGCCTTTAGTGGACACTGTCAGCCACTTGTGACCAGGCGCTTTGGCAGCATCAGGACACTGATTCACACCTCACTGAAAGTGGTAACCCCTGATAAAACACTCGCTGTGTTGGGTGTGGCTTCTAGTTAGACAGGATTCCTAGCCTCTATTATTAAATTCCTCTGAAAATTTTTAAATGTTTCTGCAGAAGTAGACTGTTAAAATATTGTTATTTGGAAGATATTTGTTTATAACAATATACAGAGTGGCCAAAAGGTTAACTCATTTGATGGCAGTTTGTAAAGCAGTGTCTTGGCTTCCTTAACTTCATAACGGGGTGGGGGGGGCGGAGGGAGCGGGGGTGATGCTCAAACTTCAATCCAAGATGTAGTCTGTGACTGATTAATAACGACTTCCGTAGTCATCCAAGGAAGTTAGAATCTGGCAGAGCAGCAGAGGGCACATCCCGCCTGCCTCCGTGTCGAGGGTTACGTCATGGGGTGTGCCTTCCTCAGCCCCAGCCTCTGCTGCATTGCAGTGTCCCTGGCGCAGCCCGGAGCCCAGCCAGTCCCTGGGCCGCCCGCCTTAGCAAAAGCAGGCACCGTGGCTGGATGCTGCTGTGGTTGCCGTGTTTTCTGTGTGATTTTATTTGTAGAGATGACTGAATCTACCTGAGTGGAAGAAATTATTCTGTTAGCATACCATATTTTGTTAATGTCAGTAATTTCCTTTGGTGATTTTAGAATGGTACTTTTATTTCCTATGTAGTATTTGGTTGTTTTTTCATGACATACTTTATATAAATCGTCGGCAGCATTATGGCCTCTTCAGAAAATTGAGACACGAGCCCTGCTAGGCCCCCGCCCTGCTAGCAGTGTTAGTTTGGGAATATTTCCTTGTGCCTCTTGTTCACGTGCTTGCAGTGGCAGATCGCAGCTGTGTGTGCTTGGTTCTGGGCAGTGTGACTTAGCTTGTGCTAAATCCTTGTTTCTGTTAGAAAGCAGTTGATTAATTTGTATCTCTGTGTTTTAGTTATTTTTTAAAAAACAGCTAGAAAGTAGCTGGCATTCTAGAATGAATGCCTCCCTAAAATTATGCCAGTTTTGGAAGTTACATTCTTATAGAAGTACCAACCTTTTATACTTCCAGAATGAATTTTGTATTCGTCTCATCAAATATAAAATACTAATTAAAACGAATGAGGCAAATAGCTTTTGATCTAACCCTGTACTCCCAGACTTCATAATTTTTGGTATTTAAAGAAACCTTATAGACCTAATTCAGTGTCCTACCTGTTTTACATATCACGAATTTTACATATCCCAGAGGAAGAAAAATGAATTTCCCAGGGTCTCTCTGTAAGTCTGCTGTCTTCAAGGGAAGCAGCTGCACCTAGTGTTTTCGGGCAGCCCTCAGTCATTTTTGCGAATGCAGCTATTCCATGTGGTGTGACACTGCAAAGACAATCTGAGTAGGTTTTGGCATCTAGTGGGTTAGTACTAGATCTAGAAATTTGCGTTATTTTCCATTCTCGCAACATTTTTGTTTGAAATTTTCAATTTTGATTTTTAACTCTTTGGAAACTTGGTTTGTTTGCACCCTGCGCTTCCTGGCTGTTACGCGCCAGCGAGCTTTCAAAGACTACTGCGCAGGGGCTTGCTGCATGGACACCACAGGGCCCGCCTCCGAGGGTTCAGTGGGGTGGTTGCTGCTGTCCTACAGGCCGCTGGTGCTAGGAGAGCAGACGGAGGCCGCGACCTTTGGATCACAGGCTTCCGAATCCTCCCTTGGACCTTTTCCACCTCCTGTCTGGGGGCTGTTTCTCACCTTCCTTACCTGGGAAAGTAGGGACTTAGTGGCGCCAAGCCCTTAGCGCTGTCCTCAGGGCCAGAGGAATGAATGACAAATTCTTAGTAAAATGCCTATCTCATGCTAAGACTTCTGTGCTTGGAGCAGAGGTTCCTCCTGGGACGGAGCAGGGAGTACTGGCTACGAGGCACTGCGCTGCACCTTCTGGGCCGGGCCCTGGCTGTGCCGGTGCATTCTGACTTGCAGACCGGGAAATGAGACACAGACGCTAACGACTTTGCCCAGGACCATGTGGCAGACAAGTGCCTCATCACAGGTCAGGGGAAATGGTCGGAGGGCAAACTAGATGGGCCACGTGGCAGGAGTTTCAGTGTCAGATTGGAGTGGGCTGAGGCCAGTCTCTCACACTTGGTTTATTAAAAATGCCATGAATTTGTTTTTTTTAATTATTTATACAAGAACCGGGGTACAGGCCAGATGTGTGGGCGGATAAGAGGATTCACCACAGTTAGAGCAGGAAGCAGAACAGGCAGACTGATGAAATACACTGCTGAGAGGAGCAGCGGGTGAGACAGGAGAGTTCTGCTCACCATGTGGGTAGCTCCGAGGTTGACAGGGATCGAACTGGCACTGCAGAGGCTGTGGACAGCTTCACAGTGTGGTGCTCAACCGCCTACGCCACCACCAGGGAGGCCTAACACCGCTGTGAATTTGATCAAGTATTTATTGATTTGTAGAGGACGTTGGTGATGAAGGAGAAGAGGAGAAGGAATTCATTTCCTATAACATCAACATCGACATTCACTATGGAGTGAAGTCCAACAGGTGAGTGTGCAAGTGCGTAGTCCCACCACTCCCCTGTGGGGATCCACTGGCAGTCGCGGCCCTTCAGCCCAGACATTAAGAAAACACTCAAAAGATGTCTGCTCTTTAAATTCAGTATGTTATCTTTGATTTCATGTGTTCAAATTAAAAGGATTCTGAGTCGATGTAAAATGTAAAGTATGTTTATTGCCACACCACAGCAACCTTGTTGGATTTGAGTCCGTGTACTTGACATGGCTGATGGTGCTGGCAGGTTGGTCTGGATTTCTACTACTCTCATAACGGGAAGCCTTCTTAGCATTCTTTTCAGGATAAATCCCGGAAGGTAGTGGTACTGGTTCAGAGACAGTGCAGCATTAAAGCTTTTAATGTATATTACCACTTCCCCACCTTCCAGAAAAGTTGTGCCAGTTTACACTCCTGTGACATATCTGAATTTATTTATTTTTTTTTTTAGAGGCATGTTTTTATTTATTTTATTTGTTTGCTTTGTTTATACATGCACTGGGTACAGTCAGAAGCCCGGGAGGGTGAGAGAATTCACCAGAGCCAGAGCGGGAACAGAGCAGGCAGAAGGACCGAAGTACACTGCTGAGGGGAGCAGCGGGCAGCAGGAGAGGTCTGCGCGCCATGTGGGACCCTCCTCAGGTGGCCGGGGAGCAGCCGGGGATCGAACCTGTGCCGCGAGGCTGCAGGCAGCTTCGCAACCCAGCGCTCAACCTCTGCGCCACCGGGGAGGCCCACATATCTGAATTTAAATACTGTAAATGTTATCATTGAATCTGCATTGGCTTTCTTACACTTTATAATAAGTAGGTTTGCAGTTTACAAAAGAGTTGCCTGAATAGCAAATAGAACTCCCAGGTATCAATTAGCATTTGCTACATTCACATAGTATTTTTCCTGAATCATTTGAGTGTTAGTTATGACAGCACACCCCTTTGCCCAAAATACTTCAGTATCTTTCTTTAGAACAAGAACATTCCTGTTGATGGCCTCAGAATAATTTTCAGATGCAGGAAGCAGTGGGGTATGTTGCTATAGGCATAGATGTGCTTGATTATCTCAGTAGTGTCACTGATAGTCATCACACGTGACCGGCACCCAGCGGTCACCGCTGGTTTCCTGTCTCTACTTCAGCCTTTCTGTGTCTGTCATGGCGTTGCTCGATAAGTTCAGACCAGTGATCTTAGGCAACATCCTTCGATTGGGTTTGTCTGGTATTTTTCCTTGATTAGATTCAGCTGTGCATTCTGGGCAGCACTGCTGTTGGGACTGTTCCTTCTCAGCGTAGTTCATCAGTAAGCTCCATCACTCTCTAGAAAATATGAAGTATTGTGTATAAAGTACTCGCCTGGGAATTAGAAAATCCAAACACTAGTTTTCTGCACCTGTTCTGTGTGAGAAACGGCAGTAGGTATGCAGAGAAGTAAAACCAGGCAAAGAAGCTTGTGGCCTTGGGGGAATGAAGACCAGCAGATAGGCAACTAAGTATAATACTTGGCAAAATTCTGAAGGTGTGACCTACTATGAAACATGGAGCTTGGGAGGATTGCTTGAGATCAGGGAAGTGCCTGTGCAAGAAGTGTGCTGGTGCTGGGCTTGAGGGTCACTGGAATATCAGCATTTGACTATACACTAACTTCTCAAGCAGAGACACAAAAGCACATGGCACCTTTAGAGAAAGGGGCATGCATCTTACTGATTGCGTGTGGGGAGAGGGGTATAGGGTGGGTGATGAAACTGGAGGAGTTGGTTAGGCCAGGCTGTGGGGAGCCTGGTGTACCCTCTTGTCACTTTAACCTGTAGGTGACTTGTGTTTATTCAAGCTGGTCGTGACTGAGTGCCATAAGTGCTGCGCAGATGAGTATAGGGTTGGAGTGCCTCACAGCTGTAACTCACGGTTGCTGAGGAGGTTAGCTTTCGTGAGGCCAGAATTATGAGCTCAATCTGCGTATGAGATAAATGAGCTAGCCTGTTGCATGGGCCACGTGCTGTGGCTGTAACCTGGGCCCCATAACTCTCACGAGTGAGTAAAAGAAAGGTACAAAATATATTTCACTAATAGAAAGCAACTCTTCAGTAATATGATCTTTAAATTAAAACATTCAAACATTATATATTTATGTGCAACACAGAGAAAGCTACAGTTACTAAGATTGATTAGGAATGAGACGCTAATTTCTTCTTTTTTTTAAGATTTATTTATTATGCATACAAGAACTAGGGTATAGACCAGAGATGCGGGGGTGAGAGGATTCACCAGAGACAGAGTGGGAGCACAGCAGGTGGATCCATTGAAATCCACTGCTGAGGGGAGCAGCAGGGAGACAGGGGAGGTCTGCTGTGGCCTGTTGCACTGACTGCCAATACCTTGATAGCACTGTGTCTTTAACCCCTGCGCCACCAGGGAGGCCCTCTAATTTCTTCTTTTGCTTTCTTTTAGCTTGGCATTCATTAAGCGGACTCCAGTAATTGATGCAGACAAACCAGTATCTTCTCAGCTCCGAGTTCTCACTCTCAGTGAAGACTCGCCTTATGAAACCCTGCATTCTTTCATTAGCAATGCGGTGGCTCCTTTTTTCAAGTCCTATATCAGAGAGTCTGGCAAGGCAGACAGGTAAAACCCATTTTTCCCTGCATTGATCTGAATGTTATATTTCATTTAATGTTCACAAGGAGGAAGACGGAAGATGATGTAAAATTCAGGATTCAGAAGGGTAAAGCTGAGAAACCAAGTCTTTAAATCTTTTGTGTTAATCAGATGTATATTAACAATATTTGATAAACCTGAAATAATGGATCCTCTTTGGGGGCCACTTGTACGCTAATATTTGAGGTTTTCCTTATCTCTTTAGGGATGGTGATAAAATGGCTCCTTCAGTTGAGAAAAAGATCGCAGAACTTGAAATGGGGCTCCTTCACTTGCAGCAGAATATTGAAATCCCAGAGATCAGCCTGCCCATCCATCCAATTATTACAAACGTGGCAAAGCAGTGTTACGAGCGTGGAGAAAAGCCAAAAGTCACAGACTTTGGAGATAAGGTTGAAGACCCAACTTTTCTCAATCAGTTACAGTCTGGAGTTAACCGCTGGATCCGGGAAATTCAGAAAGTAAGAGGGCGGCCTTGGCATCCTGGTGGGGAACACCTTGCCCCAGACTCCGCGAGGAGGCTGCCTAAGAGGTGTGGGTGGGGAGGATGAGTGGTGGCAGCTACAGCCCCTCCCTGTGGGCGTGGGATGTCAACAGAGGACTCCAGTGTGAGCCTAGGTGGGAAGTCAGGGTGTCAGGGGGTTGCTTAGTGTTAGCCCCGGGGGGAGTGTTCATATCAGCTGTTTTATACTTTGGTTTCAGATTAAATCACTCAGAACTTACAGGGAAGGAAATCTACTGGAACATGGGCATTACACTGTAATGCATGTGTTGTGGTTCATGATACTCTATCTTGGTTTAGATAGCGAACACTCTTAAATGTTATTTTATCTTTTTTTTTTTTTTAAGATTATTTATGTATATAAGAGCTGGGGTACAGGCCAGAGATGTGGGGGGTGAGAGGATTCACCCGAGACAGAGTGGGGAACAGAACAGGCAGATTGACTGAAGTACACTGCTAAGGGGAGCAGCGGGCATGACAGGAGAGGTCTGCTGTGCCATGTGGGTTGCTCCCTGGCCAGCTGGGGATTGAACTCGTGCTGCAGAGGCTGCGATTGCTTCATAGTGTGGTGCTTAACCCCTTGCGCCACCTGGGAGGCCCCCTTAAATGTTATTTTATCTTTCAAGGTGACCAAACTTGATCGCGATCCTGCATCAGGAACTGCCTTACAGGAAATTAGCTTTTGGCTAAACTTGGAACGTGCATTATATCGCATCCAGGAGAAACGAGAGAGCCCAGAAGTTCTCCTCACTCTGGATATCTTGAAACACGGCAAGCGTTTCCACGCCACCGTCAGCTTCGACACGGACACAGGTGACTACTCGGACTAATAGTCTGACGGTGATCTGACCTTGCTTTTGTGTGGTCTTACTGATAATTTAGATGCAAATTACCAGATGCAGTCTTTCCTCTCTCCTCCCGTGCACCTTGTATCCTCTTTCCCTCTGTTTTAGGTAATGAAATGATTTTCCCATAAACCTGCCTTTCCCTTCAAGGGCTTTAAAACCATAAGTCAGTTTCCAGGCCTGGTAGAGAGGCCTGGAGTTCCTCCTGGCTCTCAGTGGCTTAGTTCCTTCAGCAGGTTGTGCTCTTTTACTCAAAGTCAAGTGTTTGTTTGAGAATCCAGGCAGGAATATGGTATTGAGTAAAGCAGAAGTTGTTTGCCCATAAGACTGGGGGTGGAAGCTGGTAGATACTCTCTCTTCCCTTTATACCTGCTGTTGCCCCCCATTCTTGGCCAGCCTGCCTGTTTTGGAAAGTGGTCAAAATAAATGCCGTTTTCTGAATGGGCAAGTGTGAATGGTGTCACCTTTAAACATACTAGGCACACGTGTGCTTGACTGAGCCATTGTGGTTGCACATCGGTCCCCACAGGAAGCGTGAGTCCTTCAGGCTGCAGTGGGGGATTGTGTTCTCTCCCTCCCCGTCCAAAAAAGATGTGCCACAGTGTGGACATCGGAGGAGACTCCAGGTTGCTTTGCATTCACTAATGCCGATGTGTATACCTTGGTTTGTTTTCTTTTTAATAACTTTGAAATCTTTCCTAGTACTTTTTTTTTTTTTTTTAAGATTTTATTTATTTATACAACCACTGGGTACAGTCAGAAGTGCGGGAGGGTGAGAGAATTCTCCAGAGGCAGAGCAGGAAGCAGAACAGTCAGAGTGACGAAATACACTGCTGAGGGGAGCAGCAGGCAGCAGGAGAGGTCTGTGAGCCATGTGGGACCCTCACCCGGCAGCCAGGGATTGAACCGGCGCTGCAGAGGCTGCGGGCAGCTTCGCAACCCAGCACTCAACCGCTGCGCCACCAAGGAGGCCCCCACTTCTTTTTTTTTTTTTTTTTTTTTTTTTTTTATTTTATAGAGGCATGTTTTATTTATTTATTTGTTTGTTTGTTTGTTTGTTTATACATGCACTGGGTACAGTCAGAAGTCCGGGAGGGTGAGAGAATTCACCAGGCCAGAGCGGGGAGCAGAGCAGGCAGAAGGACCGAAGTGCACTGCTGAGGGGAGCAGCGGGCGGCAGGAGAGGTCTGCGCACCATGTGGGACCCTCCTCCAGTGGCCGGGGAGCAGCCGGGGATCGAACCGGCGCCGCAGAGGCCGCGGGCAGCTTCGCAGCCCAGCGCTCAACCACTGCGCCACCGGGGAGGCCCTCTTTTTTTTTTTTTTTTTTTTTTTTTTTAACTAATGCCAGAGAAAGTAAAAAAGAAAAATAGCTCTCAGGTGTGTGCGTGATTCCATTTCCATAACATTCTCTGCTAACTTGATCCCTGGGAATAAAAATTGAATTTTCTAAAAGACAATAGAATTTCTGTTTTTCTAAGCTTCACTGTTAACCACTGGCCACTTTAGATAATAGGCAAAGCAAAATATGGACTCTGGGCCCACCATCCACATCCATTGGACTGTGTAGGGTGACTCATGTCCTTAGAACAGCAAAAATGAGACCCCACTAGAGCCCTCCTGTTAATATGTTTGTTTTTTCAAATGTCATAAACATTTTTCTGTTGCTGAATCTTTTGCAACATCGAAATGTCCCATTGTGAGGGTGTATTTCCTTTGCTTATACATTACTGGCCTGTAAGATCCCCTTCGGTTGTGCACCTGCTGTGAAATCTGTTTCTCTTGGTCTAGGGCTCAAACAGGCCTTGGAAACGGTGAATGACTACAACCCTCTGATGAAGGATTTTCCTCTCAACGACCTGCTGTCTGCCACTGAGCTGGACAAGATAAGGCAGGCGCTGGTTGCGATTTTCACCCATTTGAGAAAGATCCGAAACACAAAATATCCCATTCAGAGAGCATTACGTTTGGTGGAGGCAATTTCCAGAGACTTGAGTTCTCAGTTACTCAAAGTGTTGGGCACTAGAAAGTTGATGCATGTTGCTTATGAAGAATTTGAAAAAGTAAGTTTTAATACATCAGAAAACCAACCTTGGGTCCTTGGGGTGAGAATATGCTTTAATAATAAGCTTTCTTTCTTAAATTGTATCCTAGGTTATGGTAGCATGCTTTGAAGTTTTTCAGACTTGGGATGACGAATATGAGAAACTTCAGGTGTTACTGAGAGACATTGTCAAAAGAAAAAGGGAAGAAAACCTGAAGATGGTGTGGCGGATCAACCCTGCCCACAGGAAGCTGCAGGCTCGCCTCGACCAGATGAGGAAATTCAGACGCCAGCACGAGCAGCTGAGAGCTGTCATTGTCAGGGTCCTGAGGCCTCAGGTGTGACTCTGGGCAGGAGAGGCCCAGATGCGGTTTTTTTTTTTTTTTTCTTTCTTTCTTTCTTTTTAAAGATTTATTTATTTATTTGTTTGTTTATTTATACAAGCACTGGGTACAGTCAGAAGGGCGGGAGGGTGAGAGAATTCACCAGAGCCAGAGCGGGGAACAGAACAGGCAGAAGGACCGAAGTACACTGCTGAGGGGATCAGTGGGCGCGGCAGGAGAGGTCTGTGTACCATGTGGGGCCCTCACCGGCAGCCGGGGATTGAACCAGCACTGCAGAGGCTGTGGGCAGCTTCGCAGCCCAGTGCTCAACTGCTGCGCCACTGGGGAGGCCCCCAGATGCAGGGTTTCTGTGCCTATACCCCTCCCCCCTTTTTAGAGTTGGAATTAACCTTTCATTTTGTACTATTACAGTGCTCCATCTTCTTCCTGTTGCTGTCATCTTTAAGATCGGACAGCTCTGTTGTATTATGTCACTCCAAATCTTGTTTTATACCCATTCTTCCCTGCCCCCCAATTTCATGATCCCTAGAGCCAGACTCCCTGGGTTTTGAATCCTAATTCTACCATTTAACTAGTTATGTGACGTAGACACATTCCATAATCTATTGCATATGCCTGAGATTTACTGAAAGAATTAAATGACTCCTTTTTTTCCTTAGTTCACCTTTCTCTTTCTTATTGGTGCTTTTCTTCCCTTAAAAAACCCAGTCCAGGAATATAAGGTGGATTGATGTACGCAGGTAGAGGAATTGATAAATGGATAAATAGATAATAAAGCCAATATATGGCAGGTGTTGATACTAGCATTGGCTGAATATTATTCATGGGCTCACGGTGGGGTGTGTGGGTGTTCAGTCTATGATCTTCCAAACTTCTGTAGTTTGGAATTTTCTATCAAAGTGTGTTAGATCCGGGGGATAAGGCAGGGTAGGAACCTGCTCTCTGGGAGGTTTCCCTCCCTGGGTGCCTGCCATTGGGGTCAGTTGTAGTAGTGACTCGAGGGAGTCTTTGGACTCGGCATGTACTTTATTAATCAGGGGTGTGTGCGTTCGCGTGCCCTAAATGTTGGCCTGCCCTATCACACGTGAGGCATTTGGGACTAGTGCTGATTCCTCTAGCTTTCCTTAACTCTTCCTGCTTTGATAGCATTTTTTAAAAGATCATTGTGTGTTTTCCTTTGTTTGTAAATCATGTGGCATGCAGCTTTTATATTAGTACATTTTTTTTAATTAAACTTTTCTAACACTGTTGTTCATTTTTGTACAATAGTTGGTGTCTCCACACAGGAGTAGTCGCATAAATCGCCCCTGGCCACAGCACCTGTGAGCCATCACCACAGTCCCTTGTGTGCTTCCCTCCTGCTTTGACCCCCCACCGCCTGCATTCCCCCTCTGGGTGCCCCTGATCTTTATTTGCCTGTAAAGTTTGTCCCTTCTTTACCCTTTGTTCAGTTTCCCTGTATTCCTCCTATAAATGAAACCACCCGATGTTTTTCTTTTTCCTTCTGACTTCTTTCATGGTAGCAGTAACATCTGCACTGGACTTGTGTGTCCTCACAGTGCTCTGTCTGCGTGGGGGCCACTCCGCCTTCACGGAATTGCTGCCGCAGCTGGACACAGGGCTGCCACTTGCTGTTTGTGTCCTGCTGACCTCACTTTCCTCTGTGCCTCTGCTGCCTTCTTCCGTGTCAGTTTTAGTGTCATTCTGATTCCTCTCTAGGCTAGTGGCTGTGTCTGCTGACTTCTGGTAAAATGGGAGGCCCTCATAGCAGCATCGCTCTGTGTCCTCCTGCTTGCACATGCAGCCAGGGAAAACATGCTGGTTAGCTGTCCACACACGTGTGTGTGTGTTATAAATCTAATGCCATGTTGTAAGTTCTGTTGTGTTTTTTTTAATTTTGATTTCTCCCATAACCATAGGCTCTTGTTCCCACTAATTGGGACCACCATACATCCTGGCTAGCCCAGGAGAGCTTTGTTATGGGGAAAAATCAGGCTGTAGGCCAGAGGAGCAGGGATGAAAGAATTCATCAGAGAGTGGAGTGCAGGAAAGGCAGATTTATTGAAAACCTGCACAGGAGCAAAGGGTGAGATTGGAGATAGCATCTGTGCCTGTAAGTTCTATATAAAACACAAAAATATATTTTTGTAAATTTTCTAGTTCTTCCCATTCTTTCCTATGGATCTGAGTTACTGTTTGGTGTCTTCTCTCTTTAAGGGGATTTTTTTTATTATTTCTTGTCCCATAGGTTGGCTGGCAACGTATTACTTCATTTTTTAATCAGAAAATATGTTTTGCTTTCCTATTTGAGGGAGAGTTTCACTAAATAGAGAATTCTTGGTTGATAGCAAGTTGTAAATCTCCCCAGACTTCATTTTTGCAGGGCTCCTTGGGGTCTTCTGTGTGTGTCTAGTTTCTCAGTTTCTTTCTCATTTCCAGATACTCCCCTTGGAAATGTTCTGCTCCCACAGCAACACTGCAGGTTTTTGCAGGTGTGAGTTTGGAGGTGGGGGCACCTCGAGGCCAGAAGGGCCATCAGTTGGCCATCCTCACTGGACAGTAGTACTTTGTGGGAAGTAAAGATGTCTCAAGTCCCGGCTGGTTTTGTTTTCCATTGTGGTGAAATTTGTTAAGTTGTAACCAGCACGCTTTCCCCGGTTGCATGTGCTGTTCGTTAATCATTTTATCTAGTTTTTGTCTTCAGAATGTTTTTAATGAATAAAATGCACAGGCTTGCAGAGAAAGTTGTTAGCAATTTTGATGTTATGATATAATCTATGTGTTCTCCAGAAACACATAAAATAGCAAGATCACACACTGGGCCTGATGCCAGCATTCTGAAGCAGCGATGTGTATAAACATGCTCTCGAGATAGGCACCTCACAGCTGCAAAGTGGGGGTGTGTGCTGGGGCAGAGTCATGGAATTGCAGAAAACTGACTGTTCTGCGTGCTCATAATTGCAAGAAATGCTAAGTTTTAGTTAGGGGTTAGTGAAAATGATTATAATTTCCTCCAAACAAATCCACCCACTGTTGGAATTTCACCCAAGGCACCTGTGTACTCCAGGTCACCCTGCCTAGCTTTGTAACTGGGGTGTGGGCCCGAGGTGCCGTGGACTATAACTCTTCCTGGGACACAGGTACCACGTCTGCTCCATTCTTCCCCGGTAGCGTGTAGAGAACTGAACAGTTGTTTCTTCTTTATATTTCTTCTTTGTTGTAGCTCTTGTCCCTCTGGTGTGGCGCTTCCATGGTTACAACCTAAGGTTTTAAAAAATCAAAAGGGAAGATCACTCTGCTGGCTACTAAGTTACAGCTAGCACCTCTGAGAAATACCTGAGGACCCAGGTTTTAACACATAATTTTAACTTTTTTTTTTTTTTAAGATTTATTTATTTATTTATACAAGCACTGGGTACAATCAGAAGCACAGGAGGGTGAGAGAATTCACCAGAGCCAGAGTGGGGAACAGAACAGGCAAACCGATGAAATACACTGCTGAGGGGAGCAGCGGGCACGGCAGGAGAGGTCTGTCGCTCCATGTGGGACCCTCACTGGTGGCCGGGGATCGCACCAGTGTTACAGAGGCTGCGGGCAGCCCCGTAGCCCAGCACTCAACTGCTGCACCGCCAGGGGAGGCCCTATTCTAACTTCTTAAGCAATGAAGCCGGATTGTCAGATCTTTACGGTGCGCAGTGAAAATAGACACCGTAGTATTTCACTTGGTTTTACTGAGTTGTGGTTTATAACTAAAAGTTACAGACTTAATTAGCTGAGTCCTAATTTGTGTGGCACGTGCTGCTGGTGTGCAGCAAAATAAAAATACCTGCTTGGTTCGCCTTTTTTACAAATCCTTCTCTTTTAGGTCACGGCTGTTGCACAGCAGAACCAGGGGGAGGTACCTGAGCCCCAGGACATGAAAGTAGCTGAGGTTCTCTTTGATGCTGCTGACGCTAATGCTATCGAGGAAGTGAACCTTGCTTACGAGAACGTCAAGGAGGTGGATGGGCTCGACGTTTCCAAAGAAGGCACAGAAGCGTGGGAGGCTGCGATGAAGAGGTACGACGAGAGGATTGACAGGGTGGAGACCCGCATCACCGCCCGCCTTCGAGACCAGCTGGGCACAGCCAAGAATGCCAACGAGATGTTCAGGATCTTCTCCAGGTTCAATGCCCTATTTGTCAGGCCTCACATCCGTGGGGCCATCCGTGAATACCAGACCCAGCTCATCCAGCGTGTGAAAGACGACATCGAGTCTCTTCACGACAAGTTCAAGGTCCAGTACCCACAAAGCCAGGCGTGTAAGATGAGCCATGTGCGGGACCTGCCGCCTGTGTCGGGGTCCATCATCTGGGCAAAGCAGATTGACAGGCAGCTGACTGCCTACATGAAGCGTGTGGAGGACGTTCTGGGCAAGGGCTGGGAGAACCATGTGGAAGGGCAGAAGCTGAAGCAGGACGGAGACAGTTTCCGCATGAAGCTCAACACTCAGGAGATATTCGACGACTGGGCCAGGAAGGTGCAGCAGCGCAACCTTGGCGTCTCGGGGCGCATCTTCACCATCGAGAGCACGCGGGTTCGGGGCCGCACGGGAAATGTCCTGAAGCTGAAAGTGAACTTCCTGCCCGAGATCATCACACTTTCCAAAGAAGTACGGAACCTCAAGTGGCTTGGTTTCCGTGTCCCGCTGGCGATTGTGAACAAGGCGCACCAGGCCAACCAGCTGTACCCGTTCGCCATCTCACTGATCGAAAGTGTGCGCACTTATGAGCGGACCTGCGAGAAGGTGGAGGAGCGAAACACCATTTCCCTTCTGGTGGCTGGCTTGAAGAAGGAAGTGCAGGCACTGATCGCCGAGGGCATTGCCTTGGTGTGGGAGTCCTACAAACTCGACCCCTATGTGCAGCGCTTAGCAGAGACTGTTTTCAACTTCCAGGAGAAGGTGAGTTGCATCCTGGCGCGCAGCGGCAGTGAGTTGAATAGATGGTGGTGGGCTCAGCGATGCCTTCGTCCTCCGGTTGGAGTCCCAAGTAGCTGATGCTGCCAAAGGCCCGTCGGCTGAGTGCTTCACACTCTGGGCTCTTTGGTGGCATTGGGGCTTCTGGGAGATCGTGCACTGTCACCGAGGCAGAAACCTGGGAAGAGGCGGCCGGTGTACCTGCCATACCCAGAGGTGGGAGGAGAGCCTTGTTGCTCAAAACCACGGTGTAGTGTGAGCCCAGGGACACCTGGAAGTCACGGGACTTGTTTTGTTGCAGTGTTCTCGAACCGGTAATGCCTCCGAGGTGTGCTTCCATATAAAAATAGGGAGTGGGCATCTTAACTGTTAAGCATATCTTTGTTTAGGTGGATGACCTGCTGATCATTGAGGAGAAAATAGATCTGGAGGTCCGTTCCCTGGAAACGTGCATGTATGACCATAAGACCTTCTCAGAGATACTGAATCGAGTCCAGAAAGCGGTGGACGACTTAAACCTGCACTCCTACTCCAACCTGCCCATCTGGGTCAACAAGCTGGATATGGAGGTGAGGGGGCGGAGTGCGAGTAGTGCGCTTCCTTCTCCTGGCAGTGGAGGGCGCTCCCTGTTGCATAAGTTTGTCTGTCTCTGAAATGCATTTTCCATAGAAACCACCAGTGATGACCAGTTTCCCCTCCTGAAATCCCACTTAACCAGCAGGAGAGTGATTTGGGCCTCACTTCTGCTCCAGGCTGGCGGCAGATAGTGCGGAGGGGGAATGAGCACCTCATTTCTGGGCATTTGACTACCTCCTACTTGCCCTGGCCTGTTCTCCAGTGATTTAGGCTGTATCTCTTGGGCCTCCCCTCCAGGAATGGACCCTCTCTGATAAGCCTGCTCTCTCTACCCACAGACCCCCCCCCCCCACCTTTAAAAAGGAAGAGCCTACAGTAACATCCCTGTTCTTCCTGGTGTGGAGGAACCTGTCTCTGTGGGAGTACGGGGGAGCATGTGCCTGGCCTGAAGTGCACTTGGCCCCCTATGTGGCGTGTGCAAGTGGGACTGCAGGATAGCTGGCAAGAGCTCAGTTAGCCTTACCAGGGCTTGACAGCGAGAGTCAACAAGCTCTCCCTGCCAGTTCCACGAGGGCTGGGGTTTTCTTCCCACCCCCTGGTTGCTTCCCCTGGCGATTGTGCAGCCTGAGACAGACCCTGGGGAGTGACCAGATGTCACAGAAATGTACACACCTCATTCTGGATCAGAGAAGGCTCTCTTCTTTCTCTGTCAAAAGAAGATGGTTTAATCTCCAAATTCTACAGTTTCTTAGTTTTATCTCTGAGGTTGCCAGGGAAACACTCTGGTAAATTTTCTGATTTCTGCTATACACATTCAAGACCTTCGGGGCGTGATGCTTCACCCACAGACCAGGAACACAGCCAGCCCAGCAGTCGAGGATGTGACCACATGACTACTGTGGCAGGCGACTGTATCCTTAACCTGAAACAAACTTTGTTCAGCGGTTTCTTAACTGTTCTTTCTAGATTGAAAGGATATTGGGCGTTCGCCTACAAGCTGGCCTTAGAGCGTGGACCCAGGTGCTTCTTGGACAAGCTGAAGATAAAGCAGAAGTTGACATGGACACAGACGCACCACAAGTTAGCCACAAGCCTGGCGGAGAGCCCAAGATCAAAGTGAGTATGCCATGGCCTGGTTGGGCAGTAAGTACAACAGAGCCCTCCCCTTGAACGAACAGTCACTTCATAATGGACGAAAGGCTGCTTACCCAGGACCCGGGTCTCATCGTGGGGGCTGCTATGTGGGCACCGCTGACCCCAGCCTTCCTGTACCACGCTTATGGGCACTGCCCTGGGAGGTCTTCTCCCCATGTCTCTCGGCCTCATTCTGATCACGAGAAAGAAGCCCTTATGAGAGTCATGCCACACAACATCGGAGCCCTATTCTGCCTGGGCGTTCAGGGTCATGGGGGTGGGGGGGAAATAGAGAAAATGTCATGTGTCAGAAGACGAAGGAGATGGGACGACTGCCTTGCGTCCTGGGTTCGCCCGAGAGCCTGGAGGAAGCCGGTGTCAGGAGTGTTGTCCTGTTCAAGCTGTTTTGGTGACTATGTCACATTAGAGGGTAAGGCTGGATGGAGCTGGTGAAGGTGTAGGGAAGGCCGTCATACTTTAGTGGCAGTTCTATAAATCTAGAATAATTTCAAAAACAAAAATTTTTTTAATGAAAAATATGTCTTAGGGAAAAATCTGTAGTGGGAAAAGAAAACCTTTGCTTCCCAGACACGTGCAAGGTTATATTTTAAGACCTGAATGTCATCTACAAGTGAAAGTTCAGGCTGTGACGCCAGTCACTGATTTCACAAAACTCCGAACTAGAGTCTTGGGGGAGCGCAGGAGCAGGGCAGATATCTCGGCGGGGACACTCCAGTACTGCCAAGCGCCTGTCGCGTGTCTGTGAAGGAATGTCAGTGGGAGCCTAGCACGGTTTCTAGAAAATCCTGTTAATTCAAGCTGTGCAAGTAGGTTTTGCCTATAAAGGTCCACTCTGCAGTGGTTCGTTGAGCTACATGTGTGTTGTAAATAGTTACAGTGTTTGTGTTCCTTGCACTTACAAGGTCCCGCATGGTGGAAGCCCATGAGAACGGTGCATGTGTCAGCTCTGAGCTGAGAACAGAGAGCTTGCTTCCCTGCCAGACCTGGCTTTTCACTTTCCCCTCATGTTTGGAAAACACACTTTGGACTCGTGGATATGCCTCCCAGAGCTTGCTTTTTAAAACTCTGAGATGCAGAGCAGCAAGTGAGCATGTCTAAGCTCATGAAACCACCCAGTGGAGAGTGTCAGGGTTCCTGCTTGGCTTCGAGCCCTGGCTGCTGGCCGGCTGTCAGTGAGGGCTTGCGCCAGCCTCCTACCATCAGTGCCTCGGGCTTAGAGTCACATGCAGAGAGGCCATCGCACACCTACTCCCGCTGTCTCCCCAGTGCCTGTTGTGTGTTTGGTGTCTGCCCTCTGACGTGATGGGGGCACGACAACACAGGAAATTGTGAAAGGGCATGTCTAATGCCAGAAGCTCAGAAGTTCATAGGAAGTGCTGTGTACCGAGACATTGTGTTTTTTTATTAAAGGTTTATTTATGCATATAAGAACTGGGGTGCAGGCCAGAGACAGTGGGGAGTAAGACAGGCAGAACCACTGAAACTCTGCTGAGGGGAGCAGCGGGGAACAGGAGAGGTCTGCTGCGCCCTGTGGGTCAGCTCCCTGGCCGGGGATCATACTCAGGCCGCAGTGGCTGCTCATAGCCTGGCGGCACTGAGACTAACCCCTGCGCCACCAGGGAGGCCCATAACAAGACGGTTTATCAGGACAGATGGCTGAAATGAAATCTTTCATTCACAGAACGTTGTTCATGAGCTAAGAATAACCAACCAGGTCATCTACTTGAATCCGCCCATTGAAGAGTGCAGGTACAAGCTGTACCAAGAAATGTTTGCCTGGAAGATGATCGTGCTGTCTCTTCCCAGGATCCAGAGTCAGAGGTACCAGGTGAGCCTCCCTGAGACTCAGGGACACCTGCACCCCGCTTGTTGCATCTTTCCACATAACTTTAGTTATTCAGGTCACATTGCTTTATGACACTGTGTCTCTAAACTGCTTCTTTCCACACACAGCTCCTCCGGTGGCCTTCCACACTCCAGACTTCAGGCTCAGAGTCCTAAGGGAAAGGGAAGGTCAACCTCGTGTGGCCTGGCCCTTTCCGAGACTTTCCGAGGCTGCAGCTGTGCTCACAGTGGTCTCTCAGGGATTCCCTCCATGAACTGCTGTGGGAATTTTTACTTCCAGCTGCTCCCTACTCCCCACTATATATGATGGAACTTTGCAAACAGATGTGAAAATAGAGGGGCTGGCTCGCGCAGCCCATCTTTGTAAGCCTTTGGTCAGTTTTGCTTTTTTATATTCTCTTCCCCACCTCTCGCCGCTGGGCTATTTTGAAGGAAACCCCAGGTAAAACATGCTTCTGTTAGTAACTTCTAGAGCACAGGGAAAACTCAAAAGACGCTTTGGTCCCTGGGCTCTAGGTAATGTTACTTCTAAACAGAACCAGTGGTTTTCAAATAAACCCATTGCATGACCTCTGTATTAACAGGCTCCCACGAAGATAGGAATCTTGTTAGAAAGTATATCTATGAACACAGACTCAGTACTTTCTAGAACTTTCTGAGGTAACAACCACCCAGAGGTTGGCCACTGTGGCAGTGCTTGACCAAAACCTGGCCCCTCCAACCCATCCAAACCAGGCTGAGGCCTGGCCGCTGCCCAGGGACCCGAGTGCAGCAAGGACGAGTGCATCTGTCACACATCTCCTGCTTCACCAGAGAACTCTGTCCACAGTGTTCCCCCGTGTACCCCAACTACCAGCCAACACCTCTGTCCACTGACCCCCAGTCCTCCCCTTTCTCCGGAGTTCCTGTCGGCAGCCAGTCTTGACTCCTGTGCCTAGCCGTCTGCTTCCCTGTGCGTCTTGGTAGCACAGGCACCCTCTGCTCAGGCACCCGTGGGGCGTCTCTGCCCTTCCCGGGGCACCACCTTGTGGCTGCTTAGTTCGGGACTGGGCAGGGGTGTGCTCTCCTGCTGTGCCTCCCACCTTGCTGGCCAGTCTCCTCAGCTTCCTCTGGGCAGTCCCTCTCCACGCTCTCTGTCTCATCCTGTCTGTACAGGAGTCAGATTAAATGCTGACTCTGTGCTTGTGACTCGTGCCTTTCTTGTCTCCACCTTCAAAACCAAACCTGATCTTTCTTTCCACGTCCATCGCCAGCAGCTCAGTCTCAATCCGGTCACACCCCACTCGGGTCACCAGCTCTCCCCCCTTGCTGACTCTGCCTCCGCCTTTGCCCCTAAGGTCTGTGCTCAGCACAGCAGCTAGTCAGCCTTCAATTGTGCCATGACCTTGAGTCGGTTCTTTTCTGAGCTGTTACTGGCTTCCCGGCATGAGGTAGCTTGCTGGGCCATATGTGAAAAACTGCTTGTTCTGCTCCTGCTCCTCACCTCGTGGCTTCTCCAGCCACACCAGACTTGTGCTCACCCACAGGCATAATCTTGGCCCTGGGCCTCTGCTCTCGCTGTCTCTCCGCTTGGCAATCCCACTGAAGAAGAATCACAGGGCTCCGCCCCTCTCTTCTCCAGCCTCCGCTCAGATGTTGCCCTCACTGAGCTCTTCCTGACCTCCCTATTTCAAACACAGCTGCCCCCGCACTCCTATTCTCTATTTTCTTGGTTTTTCTCTGTTGTACTTCTTAGCGTTTGCATCCTGCATGTTTTGCTGTTGTACTATCTCCACCACAGAAAGGAATTGACTCTGTGAGCAGGGTTTGTATTCGTAGCGCCTGTCACATCACAGGCCTACAGGGGGTAAAACAAACAAATGACCACTTCATCAAGTCCGTCTCGCTCCGTCTGCACTCTCATTTGAGAGTTCAGGTCTGGGCCCTGCTCCTTAGGCCGTGAGCTGTCACTTTTATTGTGAGCTCTTCTTCCAGCCTGTTCTAATCAAGTGGACACAGGTGCACACTTCCTGCATTCATTTCGGCCTCTGTTGGCAGGTGGGTGTGCATTACGAATTGACCGAGGAGGAGAAGTTCTACCGGAATGCTCTGACACGCATGCCTGACGGCCCTGTGGCCCTGGAAGAGTCCTACTCCGCGGTCATGGGCATTGTGACCGAGGTGGAGCAGTATGTCAAGGTGAGGCACCTCGCCCTACTCAGTGCTTTTGCATATGGGAGAGTGATGTGGGTGTGAAAGGGTTTTGACTATCAGTTTGATTCACTGGATGTTTATTAAAAAAAATCAATAGGACAGATCTTCTGGGATACTGTTATTTTGGAGAACAGTAAATTTTATTTTTTGATAGGGAAATTCTGCGCTTTTGAAGTGGGAACTTCCCTGTGTGGCATAGACACTGACCTCACAAGGGGTGCCTGACGGCTGCTCTCTGCTTCCTCAGGTCTGGCTGCAGTACCAGTGTCTGTGGGACATGCAAGCTGAGAACATCTACAACAGGCTTGGGGAGGACCTCAACAAGTGGCAGGCACTCCTGGTTCAGATAAGGAAGGCCAGAGGCACATTTGACAACGCGGAAACCAAGAAAGAGTTTGGGCCTGTCGTCATAGATTACGGCAAGGTGCGTACGCGCTCGTGGGTTGGCGCAGGGCCTCTGGCGGCAGCAGGTGCAGGGGCCCTCCAACAGCAGCGGGGGCAGCAATTGCTGCAGCGAGAGCGCTCAGCTGAGGGCTGGTGGCCTTGTGTGTTCGTGCCCCGCAGGTCCAGTCCAAGGTGAACCTCAAGTACGACTCCTGGCACAAGGAGGTTCTCAGCAAGTTTGGGCAGATGCTTGGATCAAACATGACAGAATTCCACTCCCAGATCTCAAAGGTGAGGCGGCAGTGCCCTGGGGACACCGCTTCCCGCGAGCGCGTTTCTGAACTACATCCCTGCCTCCACCCCGACAGTCCCGCCAGGAGCTGGAGCAGCACTCCGTGGACACGGCCAGCACCTCTGACGCCGTGACCTTCATCACCTACGTGCAGTCTCTGAAGCGAAAGATCAAGCAGTTCGAGAAACAAGTGGAGGTAAGCGCAGCGAATGTGGCGGCCCTCTGCGGTGGCCCTCCAGTGCCCCTTGTTCTTCTCAGGTTTCATATCCTGAGAGGGTGTCCGCCTACCGCCTCCCCTCAGGCACCTCCCTGGGTGCTCGTTGGGTATAGGGCCTGGCATCCAGAAATCTGTGCTTTGGAATGCTCTGCGGGTGATTCCTAACCACATCAAGGCTTGGGAGCCTTGGCGAACTTGCAGGGGGCTTCCCCCTAGGACTGTCAGTGTGAAAGTTTCTGGAGAACAGCAAGTGTTTTCCTCCTACATGTTCTGTAGCCATAGCCTGTCGTCTTCTGTGGGGACCTGGCCATTGTTCTAGTAACCTTACAGGAGAAAAATGCTGTGTTTGCTTCTAACTCTCAAAGCTCTACCGCAATGGTCAGCGTTTGCTGGAAAAGCAGAGGTTCCAGTTTCCTCCATCTTGGCTCTACATTGACAACATCGAGGGAGAGTGGGGGGCCTTCAACGACATCATGCGGAGGAAGGACTCTGCCATTCAGCAGCAGGTGGCCAACCTGCAAATGAAGATCGTGCAGGAGGACCGGGCTGTGGAGAGCCGCACCACGGACCTGCTGACGGATTGGGAGAGGACCAAACCCGTCACGGTGAGTCCCCGTGGTGGCCAGAGAGCTCCTCACCCAGTGCGTCTGCTGCCTTCAAGCATCAGAGGCTTTGCGATGGCCTAGCTTTCCTCTAACAAAGACTCTGTCCTTAGACAAGCATTACTTGCAGGCACAAGTCCTTAGACAAGGCATTACTTTCTTATTCCTGAAAATAAGAAAGCTAGCTTGCTAGCCTCTTTCACCCAGAACTCCTAATGGCCACTGAAGTGAGGAGGTGGTTTTAAAGGTTAAAGTTTCTCCTCAGAAACTTTGTCGGGAAAACGCAGAAATCAGACTTTGCTTTCTCTCAGCACCGGCCAGTCCTCAGGTTGCTGCTGCTAAGTGTCAAGCTGTGTCCTTAGTAGCAGTGGGCGAAAAGAAGGGTCCTTGCCCTTGTTGAGCCTCTCCTCTGAGAAGGGATCAAGAACCCAAGTGAGTTGGGTTGGGCGGAGCCTGGGAGGAAGCTGACAGTCTCTGTGGCGCAGGGGCAGAGGGGGCCTCCTCGGCTTCCCTGGTGGAGTGCGGACTTCACTGACGGGCACCTGTCGACATCGGGGAGAGGTAGGGGAGGGTATTTCACACCAGGTCTGGTGGCAGATTTGGCCTGCACTGAGAAACTGCTTAGGGCCCTTCCTGCCCTCAGCCTGTCCGTGCTGATCGGCCCAGAGGTTCTATGTTGTACTTAATTTTGTTCCTAGATCCTTGTTTTATAACGGGTCCCAGTAGTACCCATACAGGTAGTGTTAGCCCCTCATTGCCGGCTATCAGGACGCTGGCCTTGGCGGGCGTGAGTGGTGGTCAGCAGGCACAACCCTATCAGGATTTGAGTGTCTCTTGCCTAGCCTTGCTAGTAATGTGTTAGAATTTTAATTGATTGTCTTTGGTAGAAAACTGACAAATAGTTGTCATCAAAAGCTATTGGAAAAGGAAGCGTGTAAGTTGTAGTGGCAGAGCTGCAGTAGAGGCCATTTCCAGAGAGCCCTTTCTCGGTGACCTATCTGCTCATTGAGGGCCAAGGCTGGCAGGCCCCAAGAGCCTGGTCCCCTCAGAAAAAGTGTCTGCCCTCATGCTTCTTCCCACCTCCTGAGCCCTTAGGAAGATGTGCAGCGAGGAGAGGGGGGCACCACCTCGGCATAGGGTGCCGCTTGCGTCACCTGACTGTGTGTGTGGACAGAGCCACAGGCTCCCTCCCCATTTCAGGGCAGAGGCCTCGAACCATAGTTCTCTGCACTTTGACTGCTTTCAGGGCAATCTCCGCCCAGAGGAGGCGCTGCAGGCCCTCACCATTTACGAGGGCAAGTTCGGCAGGCTGAAGGACGACCGGGAGAAGTGTGCGAAGGCCAAGGAGGCCCTGGAGTTGACCGACACTGGGCTCCTCAGCGGTAGTGAAGAGCGCGTCCAGGTACAGCTGCTGTGTGCACATGGGTCCCCTGACTGCAGTGACAAAGCCTCTCCCAGCCTGCTAGACTGGGAGACACTTTCCCTCTCCTAAGTGTATTTGCTTCGCTGTTCTTGCTCACAGGTGGCCTTGGAAGAATTACAGGACCTCAAAGGTGTTTGGTCAGAACTTTCTAAGGTCTGGGAGCAGATTGACCAGATGAAGGAGCAACCCTGGGTTTCAGTACAGCCTCGAAAGGTACACATACTTCGAGTGGGTGTCTGTGCGCACCTTGCCATATCAGGAGTCAGATGCGGATGCTCTGCAAGTCAGGCGCCGTGGGGCCCGCTAATGAATGGCACTCAGTGTCCCGCATGAGTCTGCGTTCTCTGTCCAGACTGGGGCTTTTTGTCTCACCATGTAAAGAAACTTTAGTGAGTGGAACCTCACCCGTGTCTCTCCTGACAGCTTCGGCAAAGTCTGGATGGCCTCTTGAACCAGCTGAAAAACTTCCCGGCACGACTGCGGCAGTACGCCTCCTACGAGTTTGTCCAGCGGCTCCTGAAGGGCTACCTGAAGGTAGGTGACTGGCCCCTGCCAGCTCCGGGTGGCCATGGGAGCCCAGCTCCACAGGTAACCATGCACTCTCCCCGCAGATCAACATGCTGGTGATCGAGCTGAAGTCCGAGGCGCTCAAGGACCGCCACTGGAAGCAGCTGATGAAGAGGCTACACGTGAACTGGGTTGTTTCTGAGCTGACCCTTGGCCAGATCTGGGATGTTGACTTGCAGAAAAACGAGGCTGTCGTTAAGGATGTGCTGCTCGTGGCCCAAGGGGAAATGGCCTTGGAAGAGTTTTTGAAGCAGGTAAGTCACAGGACCAACGGCCACCATCTGACCCGATGTGAAGACCCTCCAGCCTCCCGATGCCTGCATGGCCCGTGGCTGAGCTGCTGGCGCCACACATTGACAGCACGCCTTTCTGGTTTCAGATACGAGAAGTGTGGAACACTTATGAACTGGACTTGGTCAACTATCAGAACAAGTGTCGCCTCATCCGCGGCTGGGACGACCTCTTCAACAAGGTCAAGGAGCACATCAACAGTGTCTCCGCCATGAAGCTCTCTCCGTACTACAAGGTGCTTTGTCTGGAGTGTCTCCTGCCCCTTGCTTTTTTAAACATGAGTGTAGAGCTTGATCTTAATCTGTGTTGTTGTTTTTTTAATGAGTTTTGTTATATCTGCGAGTGAAAAGCTTAGCCGCTGGCTCTCCTGTCCACCCACTAGGTTTTCGAAGAGGATGCCCTGAGCTGGGAAGACAAACTGAACCGGATCATGGCTCTGTTTGACGTGTGGATTGACGTGCAGCGGCGCTGGGTCTACCTGGAAGGCATCTTTACGGGCAGTGCGGATATCAAGCACCTCCTGCCAGTGGAAACCCAGCGCTTCCAGAGGTACAGCTTCTAGCCTGAGCAGAGCACTGATTTCAACTGATTGGTCACCGTGGCACAAAGGCTAACTCTGGTTTTAATTTGGTTGGCAGTATCAGCATGGAGTTTTTGGCTCTCATGAAAAAAGTCTCCAAGTCTCCCCTTGTTATGGATGTTCTGAACATCCAGGGGGTGCAAAGGTCTCTGGAGAGATTGGCAGACTTGCTTGGGAAGATCCAGAAGGCTTTGGGGGAGTATCTGGAAAGAGAGCGCTCGTCTTTCCCCAGGTAAGCGAGCCACGGGGCTGTGCTAAATGATGTCGGCCATAGGCATGCCTCCAGCCTCCTCTCCCGTCCGGGCCCACGGGGTGGTCACTTGGCCCACCAGGGTCTTGTTACCAGCAGTCCACCTAACGAATGCCATTTCTTTCTCGCGCGCTGCTTGGATTTGTTTATCAAGCTTCATTTATATCATCACCACCCACCCAGGGAAGACTGCATGCAGTGCGGCTGTTTCCGGAGTGGCTTCTCTTTCTCTCTGTACAGTTTACTTAGTGTAGATGGAGTAGGTTTTTTAAAAAAGGAACTCATAAAGTAAGGAGAATGACATGAAATCCCTGAATTCCTCTTCAATGTCTCATTAGATAAACAAGCGTCTTGCTGGAGTGTTGGGAGAACTGTGAGTGTGACGTGACTCACCCCATGTGTGTGCACCTGTGACATCTTAGCAACTTGTGCATTATTTTGATTTTAGGTTCTATTTTGTGGGTGATGAAGATTTGCTTGAAATTATTGGAAACAGCAAAAATGTGGCGAAGTTACAGAAACATTTCAAGAAAATGTTTGCTGGCGTGTCAAGCATCATCCTGAATGAGGATAACTCTGTTGTCCTGGGCATTTCCTCCCGCGAAGGAGAGGAGGTAGTTAAATGCGTGACTGTAGCCTAGAAAACGTCTCTACTGGTTTTGCCCATCATAACTCTTGCATTTTATTTCTTTCAGGTCATGTTTAAAACTCCCGTGTCCATTACCGAACACCCCAAAATCAACGAGTGGCTCACGCTGGTGGAAAAGGAGATGAGAGTCACCTTGGCCAAACTGCTTGCCGAGTCTGTCACAGAAGTGGAGATTTTTGGTAAAGCGACTTCCATTGACCCGAACACCTACATCACTTGGATCGATAAATACCAGGTAGTGGATAGCAGAGGCGGGTGGTTTGAAGACGAACGCCTGGGACCCCAAAGTGACCCTGTGGATGGTGTGTCTTTCAGGCCCAGCTTGTGGTCTTGTCAGCCCAGATAGCCTGGTCTGAAAATGTGGAGACGGCTCTGGGCAGCATTGGGGGCAGTGGCGATGCGGCACCCTTGCACTCTGTGCTGAGCAACGTGGAGGTCACCCTCAATGTGCTGGCTGACTCGGTCCTCATGGAGCAGCCCCCACTCCGCAGACGCAAGCTGGAGCACCTGGTCAGTCCCTGCCTGCTCGTCCTCGCCGTCTGTCTCGCCCCTTCAGCTCTAGCAGCTAAAGAAATCAAGCTTAAAAACCATGTCACTGGGGCCAGGAGGAAAGCAGGTGGCCCTTGCTCTCCTCCGGGGTGGGGATTTGGCCACATTCCTGTTGAGAGGTAATCTTGGTGCGACCTGGGGGTTACCCAACTTCCTGGTAAAAAGGAAGCGATCAGCCTTGGTCAGGGTCTCGCTTGCTTTCTCGCCATCTATCTCCTTCCCAGAGAGACACTCTCAGAGCAGGGCGCACCCAGCCACTGAGCCTGGACTCCGTGAGGAGACAGACCCGCAGGCAGAGCAGCTGTTTTCTCGCTTTTTGCTGCTTAAAGTCTGTCCAGAGTGTGAGGTGTTTTTGTTAACTGTTTCCTGGGTCTTGCCACAGTTCTTGATTCTATCATTCCATTGTGTGGATAACAGGTCTGTTGTTTTTTGAAAGTGAATTTGCAGTCTAGAACTTGTGCCTAAAGCCACTGTAACTGGCCCCATAATTGAAGTCTAGCACAGCCAGAGAACGTGCACTGCACACCCTTCGTTCACGACAAGCTCTCAGCGTGCCTCTTCTTCAGATTACAGAGCTAGTTCACCAGAGAGATGTCACAAGGTCCTTGATCAAAAGCAAGATCGACAATGCCAAGTCTTTTGAATGGCTCAGCCAGATGCGGTTCTACTTTGACCCTAAGCAGACTGACGTGTTACAGCAATTGTCGATTCAGATGGCCAATGCCAAATTTAACTATGGCTTTGAGTACCTGGGTGTTCAGGACAAGCTGGTCCAGACTCCCCTCACCGACCGCTGCTACTTGACCATGACACAAGCCTTGGAGGCCAGGCTCGGAGGGTCCCCATTCGGTGAGTTACTCCATGAACCTGGGCCATGCTGTCAGGTGGTGAGTGGGGACTTCTCAGGTTGAGAGAATGACTCAGATGTATTTCTCGGTCACCTGGCTAGCATGTTACAAAGTCTTCAACTTGAGTTTTTTGCATTTACTCTGATTTTTAAATTGTAAAGCTAAAGGTATATTCTTAATTGAACGATAGACTCAATTGCTTTTGTCTTGTAACAGGGCCTGCCGGGACGGGGAAAACAGAGTCCGTTAAAGCTCTTGGCCATCAGCTGGGCCGGTTTGTTTTAGTTTTCAACTGCGATGAGACCTTTGATTTCCAGGTGAGAAGTCTTCTGGGGTCACCTAAGATCTAGTGGCTTGGGGAGGGCCAGGGGGTCTTGAGCTCACACCTCTCTCAAAGTTTGTCACCGGCTATTTCAGTGTTTTTTGTCTGCCTCTTGGTCATTTTGAACTGGTCGTGTTACCTACCATATGTGCTTTGATGTTGTCTTAAGCTTCATGTTCTCAAAAGTAAGGTTTTTGAGAAAAACCAAAAATGTGCCCACCATCACCCATTGCACCCCCACCATCCCACCCTTTCCACCTCTTGTCACCTCAGTTCAGTTATTGGTGTCCACGTTTTTTGTTCTGCTTTGTTCATTGTTTTATCTCCTTGCGTTGCACGTGTCAGTGAAATCATTCCGTATTTGCCTTTCTCTTTCTGACTAATTTCCCTTCACATAATTGCCTTGGGTTCCTCCCATTAGGTAGCAAATGGCAAGATCTCATCTTTCATTACAACTGTGTAGTGTTCCATGTGTCACGAGTGCTTCATCTGGTCCTCTGTCAATGGACGCTAAGGTTACTTCCGTGTCTCAGCTATTGTCAGGAGCCCTGCAGTAAACATCATGGTGCATGTGGTTCTTCAAGCCTGTGGCTTGCTGCTCCTTGGGTAGATACCCGGTAGCTCGGCCACATGGTAACTCACTTTCTAGAACAGTTGTACCAGCTTCCACTCCCACCAGCAGTGCACTAGTGTGCTCTCCACCCCTCGCCGGCACTGTCGCCAGTGACCTTCCCACGTGTTTCCCTGATGGGAACACCTTACATTGTTGTTAGAAGTGTCTGTTCAAATCTGCCCATTTTTCGTTGGGTAGCTGTGGGTTGGTTCTGCAACTCCCTGTATCAAGTATGTGGCGGGCAGATTCTGCCGCCAGCTTGGCTGATAATTTTTTCCATGTGCAGGAAGAAGACTTTCAGCTGTATTTTGTGGTTTCAGATCTTACGTATTAAACTTTAAATCTGTTTTGAGTTTATTTCTGTGTGTGGAATCAGAGAGAGTGGCCCAGTTTCATTCTTTTGTGTGTGTCTGTACAGTCTTCCCAGCACCATTGTTGAAGAGATTTTCCTTTCTGCATTGTGTGATCATGACTCCTGTCATAGATTTGGCTTTGGTGTGTGTGTGGGTTTATTTCTGGGCTATTTCTCACCCCCAGAGATGTGGGGGTGAGAGGACTCACCAGAGACACAGTGGGGAGCAGAACAGGTGGATCCACTGAAATCCACTGCTATGAGCAGCAGTGGGGAGACAGGAGAGGTCTGCTGAGCCCTGTGGGTCAGCTCCTTACCAGGGATGGAACGTGTGTTGCCGTGGTCAGTGAGGATAGCTTCATGGTGCTGAGACTGACCCCTGCGCCCCCAGGGAGGCCGGACTGTTTCATTGATGCATGTGTCTTTTTTCCCATAGCAATACAGTTTATTTCTGCGACTATTGTTGGACATGCTGCTTTAATTACTGTTGATTTATAATTTAAATTTGGGTAACCCAGTGCCTCCATTTTTCTTCTTGAAAATTATACAATTTCAAAGTATAATTTTGAGATTATACAAAAGTCTTTGGTGGAACATACCATTTTTCTAAAAGGGGGGGTGCTGCTCATCGTTCACTGCTGTGCTGGTCCGCGGCAGGGGGGTTTCTTAAAAAATGGTTCGTGCCTGTTTCTGGAAATGAATATTGTGAAAAGGGTGGTAAGCAACAAAGAGTAGTAGAACAGAAATGAGCACAGGAGGGCATGGAGCACCCATCTGTACTAGTGATTGCTGCAGCTCATGCAGGACTTGCTGTGTGTGCTTCTGGGCCCTTGGTCTCGCGTGTGGCTCTGGTTGCACCTGCGCAGCCCCTGACAGGGAGTGGTATGACGCCTGCTTCAGAGACAGGCAAACCGAGATGTGATTGGCCAGGGTCAGCCCGAACCCAAGTTGGACCCTGACAGCGGCTTGCTTTCTGTTCTAGGCCATGGGAAGGATCTTTGTGGGGCTGTGCCAGGTGGGTGCGTGGGGCTGCTTTGACGAGTTCAACCGCCTGGAGGAGCGGATGCTGTCGGCCGTGTCCCAGCAGGTGCAGTGCATCCAGGAGGCACTGCGCGAGCACTCCAACCCCAACTACGACAAGGGTGAGGCCCGTCTGTTCTCGCACTGTCATTAGGAACGCAGTGGGAAAGTCCGTGGTGGGCCAAGTAGCCCCCTCTTAGCCGGGACTCCCTGCTGTGGGTAGGGGAGGGAGCTGTGGGAGAGGGGTCCCATGGTGAGCGGCAGCAACATTTGGGACGCCTTGTCCCTGCACAGGTCTCCTTCTGGAGCTCCTCCCAGTGCGTCTATGGCCCTCTTCCTGCAGCCCCAAAGAGCCCACATTCCTAGCCACTTTTGGGCTGGAGTGTTCTCGTATGGGGCTGTGCGGAGGCAACCACAGGGCAGGCGTGCGTGTTCTGAGCAGCTCTGGAACTTTGTTCAACACAAAGTGTACAGATTGGGGCGGAGTAGGGTCTAGGGGAGGCGACACATCGCTGTGCCCACATACCTTTCAGCATTGCCTTTGAGCCCACCACAGTGGTCACTTGTATTGCCACAGAATTTGCCAGACCTATGAAATCAAACAAATAGCGTGTTAAGGAAAGCAGTACCGGATAGGCTATTGTGGGCTCAATGGACCTCTCCCATTTAGCGTTCAGAGCTGTGGGGCTTGGGGTATTTTGGGTGATGTAGGAAAGGGGAATTCTGAAGATCTCAGCCAGTCACTATGTTGCAGTCTGCGTTCAGTTTCACTTCTGCAGCTATTGTTGGACTGAGTTTCTACTCTTGAGCTGATGTTGTGCCAAGTCCTGTTGCACAGGCTAGGGCTTGCTGCCTCTCATGAGTTGTCTGCTTGCTACACATGGACAGAAGAGGTGAAGAGTGGGTCTCCTGGGCAGGTGGTGGTGCCTGCAAAAAGACCATGGCATGGCTCCCCTGGAGTCCTGGACTTTGGGCTTTAGTGGCCAGCAGGGAGGTGGAACTTTGTAGTTTTAGAGAAGTTTTGAACATCGTGATTCTTAATGCCATCATCTGATTTTCAGCCTCTGCCCCCATTACCTGTGAGCTGCTAAACAAGCAAGTCAAGGTGAGCCCAGACATGGCCATCTTCATCACCATGAATCCTGGCTACGCGGGCAGGTCGAATCTCCCGGACAACTTGAAAAAGCTGTTCCGGAGCCTGGCCATGACCAAGCCAGACCGGCAGCTCATCGCCCAAGTCATGCTGTACTCTCAGGGCTTCCGCACGGCCGAGATCCTTGCCAACAAAATCGTCCCCTTCTTTAAGTGAGTAGCCATGGGTAGCGGGGCTAGGTTTGTCAGTGTCGAGTTGACCTGAGCATCATGGCACATCTTTCAAAGTTTCCATTGATTTCTAGACACTGGGCACACTGGGCACTCATGTTAAAGTGTATTGTTCTTTTTTTGTTGTTTTTTTTTTTAAGATTTATTTATGTATGCGTACAAGAACTGGGGTGTAAGCCAGAGGTGCCAGGGGTGAGAGGACTCACCAGAGACAGAGTGGGGAGCAGAACACGCAGATCTACTGAAATATACTGCTGAGGGGAGCAGCAGGCAAGGCAGGAGAGGTCTGCTGTGCCATGTGGGTCAGCACCCTGGCCGCCCAGGGACCGAACTTGTGCTGCAGTGGCTGACAGTAGCTTGACAGCATTGTCTTTAACCCCAGTACCACCAGGGAGGCCCCGAAAGTGTATTGTTCTGAAAGAAAACCTTTCTCACTTCTAGACTATGCGATGAGCAGCTCTCCTCTCAAAGCCACTATGACTTTGGGCTGCGAGCTTTGAAGAGTGTGCTGGTAAGTGCAGGTAACGTGAAGAGGGAGAGAATTCAGAAGATAAAGAGGGAGAAAGAAGAACGAGGCGAAGTTGTTGATGAAGGAGAAATTGCAGAAAATCTACCTGAGCAAGAGGTGTGTGCTTTTACTCACTCCAACCTCAAACACGATTTATGTTTACCTCTTCACCTTTTAAGTCATGACTGAAGAGAGTCTTCAGTGCACCTCGCGTGTACTGGGGTGGTGGAGCAGGCTGCACGCGCCTAGCCCCTGACTCAGTCCTTGTCCCTCCGTAGATCCTCATACAGAGCGTCTGTGAGACGATGGTGCCAAAGCTGGTGGCCGAGGACATCCCGTTGCTCTTCAGTCTCCTGTCGGATGTGTTCCCTGGGGTGCAGTACCACCGTGGGGAGATGACCGCGCTGCGAGAAGAGCTGCGGAAGGTGTGTCAGGAGATGTACCTGACCTACGGCGATGGGGAGGAAGTTGGCGGCATGTGGGTTGAGAAGGTAAGCAGGGCCCTATGAGCCGGCCAGCGCGGTGGCTTCACTGCAGGCATCTGCACTTCAGTACGCGCTTCCTTCGCTTTTCTTCCTCTGAGATTCTTTTAAGAAAAAATGCATGTTTTCCTTGAGCTGTGTGTGCTGAGCCACGTGCACGCTCCCACGCTCCTGCTTAAACACGCTTCCCCTTTGGTCGCCTCTCCCTGGAGGGGTCGACCCTTCTGCGTCTTTTTGAGTCAGCTGGGTGAGCATCTCGTGTTCCCCTGACTCTGACCTTCCCAGCTTACCAGGGGACGCCCCACAACTTGCTTCTTGAAATGCTTGCTTAGATGTGACCGGGCACTGCTGCTCTGGCTGTCAAGCCCTGGTGCTTGCTGCAGGGGCGGCTGCCCAGCTTGGCGCGGGTGGCTCTGAGACTTAACTGAGGCCCCGTCTCCGAGCGGTGCTGATACTGGGGGTGGGCCCGCAGGTGCTGCAGCTCTACCAGATCACCCAGATCAACCATGGCCTGATGATGGTGGGGCCCTCGGGCAGCGGGAAGAGCATGGCCTGGCGCGTCCTTCTGAAGGCCTTGGAGCGACTGGAGGGTGTCGAGGGTGTGGCCCATATCATTGACCCCAAGGCCATCAGCAAAGACCACCTCTATGGTACCCTGGACCCCAACACCAGGGAGTGGACAGACGGGCTCTTCACACACGTTCTGAGGAAGTAAGTCCCCCTCGATTGGTGCAGGGCCTGGAGCTCGGGCCTTGGATGATGGTCGGACTTGTTTCCCGCCGGGTCGGGCAAGTTGAAAGCTGTTCCGGGGCGCACACATTCAGTCTTAACCACCCCTGCCAGGATCATCGACAACGTGCGGGGCGAGCTACAGAAGCGCCAGTGGATCGTCTTCGACGGCGACGTGGACCCCGAGTGGGTGGAGAACCTCAACTCCGTGCTGGACGACAACAAGCTCCTCACCCTGCCCAACGGGGAGCGCCTCAGCCTGCCCCCCAATGTAAGCTGCACTCCCATACTCTGGGTGGCTCTGGAGGCCAGGCCAGGGTCCTGCCGAGGGGCCTCTTGTGCCAGCAGCTCCCCACAGTGCGGCCTCTGCACCAGGGCTTAGCGGTAAATGGTCTCAGAGTCAGTCAGTTACACTGCCGCCCCGCCCCGGCAGGCTCAGGCTGGCGCCTCATGTGCCTTGACTGTGAAATCAGGGCTGGCCGCCAGGCAGCACCTAAACCTCAGCCCCCACGATATCCATGTTCCTGCTCCCTCTAGCTTTCCCCGGCTTCTCTCGGCCTCCCGCTCTCGGCCCAGGTGTCCATGCTTGTCCTCCCAGGCGCTTCTCATCACAACACGTCACCATGCATGGGCCACGAAACCTGGGGTAGAGCGAGGCTGCAGGCAGCAGCCATAGAGGCCAGCAGTGGGAAGCCAATTCCTTTCCCTACCATGTCCCGCTGCTGACTGATACCATGCACACGCCATAATGCTCAGCCTCGTGACTCCATGATGCATAGTTGTGGTTGGAGTTTCTGACATCGTTACACCTCAGAGAGGTGGCAAGATGCAGGGGTAGACACAGGGGCTTTAAGGCTACTCCTCTGGAAACGAGCATCTGGTGCAGGTCCTGAACATGGTCCCACTACGTTGGGTCATGTGGGCACACCAAGCACGGATTTGCATTCATAGAGACTCGAGTGTTGGGGTGCTGTCATCTGCAAGCTCTGTTCCATGCACTAGATGCAAGCTCTGTTCCATGCGCTGGAAGAGCAGCAGTCGGCCCTGGGCCCACCCTACTCTCCTGGGACTGGCTTCTGCAGTGGGAGGCAAATAGACGGGTAGAAGGTGCTGAGGAAAAACATGCAGGGAGGCGGGTGGGTGCTGGTGAGAGGCGGTGGCTTCTTGGGAGGTGGGTTTGGGTAGAAGTTGAGGAGTGAGAGAGCAAGTCCTCTGGGCCCCCCCGGAAATCCAGGCAAAGCAACGAAGAGCAGAAAGAGATGTCTGAGTGTGTCAAGAGTGCGGAAGGGAATGGGGCACAGTGGGTGGGCACGGGAAAGTAGAGGAAGAAATTTGGTCCAAGACCAGGCCAGGCTGGCATCCCTGGGAGGACTGGAGCTTGCCTACAGGGGAGTCAGGAGTCTAGGGCGAGTCCAAATCAGGGCCAAGGAGGCGTTTGCAGAAATGTGAAATGAGGGGCGTGAGCTGTTGGCAGAGACCCCTCTGGCGCTCCGGAGGGCAGTTGAAGGCAGCATGGGGTGCCTGGTGCCCGGGCACAACCCCGGAGCTGATGTAGACAGTGTGGAGCAGCGAAGTGCTGAGAAACGCTGGGCTGTGGGTGCTGCTGCAGGACCCCGACAGGCTAGACTGTAAGACGGGCGGTGCCAGCCTGGTCCTGGCTTTCAGCCAGAGCAGCTGTTGAGTGCAAGCCTCTGTCCCGAGGGCTCGGCACTGGTGGCTCCACATTCAGAAGCGACGCCAGGGACTTGGGTGCCAGGCTCATGTTCCCTCACCAAGGCCCGTCTCTTGACTGGACGTGGCAGCTTCTTTCCTTTGGGCTCCTTTCCAGCAGGTCCTGACAGTGCCAGAAAGCGATTGCCTTGCATGGTGCTAGTTCTGAAGCAAGTCTCAGGCGTCAGCCCTGTGGAGTGAACTGAGCCTGCTGCCTCCTCACAGAGCCCGCCTGCCAAGTGGAGGCCCCCTGGGGGGGCAGGGGCGGCAGCACCCAGCAAATGAGCATGCAGGCACCCCTGCTGACCCTTCTGCGGGAGTGAGGCGCCCCTGGTGGACCCCCCTGCCCTGCCTCCTGCCCTGCCTGATTGTTGTTGAGACAGGATGGTGGGTATTGGAGCGGCATAGACAGCAGATGCTTTTACTTTTAAAGTAGAGGAATTGTAGTTTCCTGTTGGCTGTGTCTATAGGACAAAGAATCTTAATGCCCAGATATCTACCAACCCTGGGTCACTAAATCCACGTGCTATTGCCTGCAGGTGCGGATAATGTTTGAAGTGCAGGACCTGAAGTACGCCACCCTGGCCACCGTGTCGCGCTGCGGCATGGTCTGGTTCAGCGAGGACGTGCTGAGCACAGACATGATCTTCAACAACTTCCTAGCTAGGCTGCGCAGCATCCCCCTGGACGAAGGGGAGGAGGAGGCGCAGCGTCGGCGCAAGGGCAAGGAAGACGAGGGAGAGGAGGCAGCTTCCCCGATGCTGCAGGTGAGGCCGAGGCCATAGGTCAGGGCTGGGTGCTGGCCCTGCCCCCACGCTGAGGGTGGCTGTCCCACCCAGGTATCTGAATTCCAGGTGCTTTTCAGGGTAGTCACTGCCCATCTGGCGCTGGGCTCTCCCGGGTTATGTGGTCAGTCCAGCTTCTAAGGGCGCTGCAGAGGCCAGGACAGTACAGAAAAGCCCAGGCTACTCCGCTTACGTATTTTCCCTGCAAATTGGTGAAGGCCTGCCCTTTTCCGGTTTGTTCCCCAGAAGCATGATTTTTGAGAGCTGCCAGGGTGAAGGTGTGAGGATGTGTCGATGCTTCGTCCCTCGATTTTGTCAATCCAAATTTGTTTTCAGAGGCCACATGACTCTCCCCCAGGCCTCGGTTAGAGTAATTGAAGCTCTCCCAGATGTTGGGCATGGGAGTTAAACGTTCTATGCCCCCTCCTGCAGATCCAGAGGGACGCGGCTACCATCATGCAGCCGTACTTCACATCTAACGGCCTGGTCACCAAGGCCCTGGAGCACGCCTTCAAGCTGGAGCACATCATGGACCTGACGCGGCTGCGCTGCCTGGGCTCGCTCTTCTCCATGCTGCACCAGGCCTGCCGCAATGTGGCCCAGTACAATGCCAACCACCCTGACTTCCCCATGCAGATCGAGCAGCTGGAGCGCTACATCCAGGTCAGGGCACCTGGGCCCTCACCGCCCCACTCTCTACCCCCCGGGGTGTGCGCTGCCTGGGGAGGGCAGGCCCTCACGATGGGTGGGGACGGTGCCCAACAACGCCGGGAGCCCCTCTCTTAAAGGGTCACTGTGCTGCCAGAGTCTCGTTGGAATTCTGGGGGACAATGGGATTTTTCTCCTCTTTCAATAGCGGTATCTGGTTTATGCCATACTCTGGTCCTTGTCTGGAGATAGTCGACTGAAAATGAGAGCGGAGCTGGGTGAATACATCAGGAGAATCACCACGGTGCCACTGCCTGCTGCCCCCAACATTCCCATCATCGATTACGAAGTAAGTGCCCGAAGTCAGCCTCCCGCCCGCTCGTCCCCCCACCTTTGCTTTGACTTACTCTTCCATTCACACTCCGACCCTGTCCTCCGAGTTTGTGTGGACTGGTTGGAAGGTTCTGGTGTGTGTCAAAGTGAGCAAGTCTTTAGTGAGAGGCTCTAGGTCTCGGGCTGACCCGGCTGTCCTGCATGCAGGTGTCCATCAGCGGGGAGTGGTCGCCATGGCAGGCCAAGGTGCCGCAGATTGAGGTGGAGACGCACAAGGTGGCTGCCCCCGATGTCGTCGTGCCCACCTTGGACACGGTCCGCCACGAAGCCCTCTTGTACACCTGGCTGGCCGAGCACAAGCCGCTGGTTCTGTGTGGGCCCCCGGGGTCCGGGAAGACCATGACGCTCTTCAGCGCTCTGCGGGCCCTGCCCGACATGGAGGTAAGGCAGCTTGCCTGGGCGAGGGAGCCTTGGATGTCCCCTGGGAACCAGGCCTCGTAGGACCTCACTTGTTTTCTCCCTTGAAAAGGTCGTGGGCCTTAACTTCTCAAGTGCCACCACCCCAGAGCTCCTGCTGAAGACTTTCGATCACTATTGCGAGTACAGACGCACACCCAACGGGGTGGTTCTGGCACCTGTTCAACTTGGAAAATGGCTGGTCTTGTTCTGTGATGAAATCAACTTGCCAGACATGGACAAATATGGGACACAGAGGGTCATATCCTTCATCAGACAGGTTGGCTTTTGTCCCGACCCCCCACGACCCCCACTGCGATGCCTGTTCATAGCTGCTCCTAACATGTTCCTTCTGCTCCCCACAGATGGTGGAACATGGAGGCTTTTACCGAACCTCAGACCAAACCTGGGTGAAGCTGGAGAGAATCCAGTTTGTCGGGGCGTGTAACCCCCCCACTGATCCCGGAAGAAAGCCCCTCTCACACAGGTAACACATCTCAGACTTCCCATGTGCTCAGGCACCAGTGCCAGGAGAGCTCTGGATGCAGCATGGCCACAGCCTTGTTTGAAATACCACTCCGGCTTCCTCGGCCCTGCTGCAGAGCCAGGAACCCAGAACTGAAAGTGCTTGACCGGGGTTGGGGGGGGGGGCATGTCCCCGCCGTGCCCCATCTGCAGGACCGAGCTCTTTGCCCACCTTTGCTTGCTTTTTTTTTTTGCATCCGCTGTTGTGTTGTCCTCCATTTCCGGTGACGGGGCCAGTTGGCTGTTGGGAAGCACCTGGGCCTGCTGATGGCCTGCACCGCGCCACAGTGGCTAAGCTGACTGTCCCTGCACAGGTTCTTGCGGCACGTGCCAGTCGTGTATGTGGACTACCCCGGCCCCGCCTCCCTGACGCAGATCTACGGCACCTTCAACCGGGCCATGCTGAGGCTCATCCCGTCCCTGCGCACGTACGCAGAGCCACTCACTGCGGCCATGGTGGAGTTCTACACCATGTCTCAGGTACGCGGCGCTGCCCCCCAGGGCTCAAGAGCATTTGGGGGACGAGCTGCAGTCGGTTCTCAGTTCTATGATCTGCATTAGGGTCATCCTGTTTCCTAGCACCGTGACAGCGCTTTCTTGCTCATTGCTCATTCTTGCCGTCCTCAGGCTGTGCACATCATGTGTGTCGTCTCCTGTGTGAGCTTGACTCCGCTTCCAGGGGCCAACAGTGCCTCCACACCTCAGCTTTAACAGCACACATGGCGCATGTGGGCGGTCTCCTCCACAGTGTCTGTGGTGCCCCTGTTAGCTATGAGCAGACCCAGAGCAATCTGCCTGCTCCCTGGCCACGTCCCTGCTGTGCCCCATGCTGTGAGGCTCAGGCTCTGCGGTGGCCTGAGTAGTTGTGCCTGCTGTCTCGTTTATTTAGACATCTAAACCTGTAACTTGGATGACAATGTTCTGGACCGTTGTCCAGCTGGTCCGATGTTGTTTATGGATTTATCCTTGAATATCCCAGGCTTTGACCTGTAGTGCAAAAATGTTATTCGACATTCGATCTCTCATGTCTTAAGATGTTTGCATGTGATTTGCATCTCCCCCACAGGAGCGCTTCACTCAGGACACTCAGCCCCACTATATCTACTCGCCCCGAGAAATGACTCGTTGGGTGAGGGGCATCTTTGAGGCTCTGAGGCCTCTGGAGACTTTGCCCGTCGAAGGCCTCATCCGGATTTGGGCACACGAAGCCCTCCGTCTCTTCCAAGACAGGTAGTGCTAAAGAGCCAGCAAGCCCCGTGCTCCCTTGCTTTGATTTCTTGGGGTGCTCCGAGTCAGGACCTATGTCAGGCCACGCTGCACCAGCTGTGCTGGCTATGTGCAGGAGCAGAGGACGTGGGGCAGCCTCGTGTCTGGAAATTGATCTCGTCCAGTGTAGCCGGTTGAGCCTGCTCGTTGTCCACCACTGGTCACCTTGGGACTTAGCAAGCAAGCCCTTTCACTTCCTGACCTGTCCAGAGCACGGGATCCCTGCGATGGCCTATGTCAGCTCACAGTGCGTGTGGACGGTTTCCACAGCCAGTATGCCTCTCTTGCTGGGTCCTCATTCTCACCCAAGGCCTGCACTGAGTCTCTGCCTGTGGGCCACGTGCACTTGTGAGCTTGCCTCAAAGCTTTTAGAATTAGTACCGGCTGCCGTGACTCAAAGCACAGTGCCTTTGACGGTCAGTGCTGGTCACGACAGCGTGTAGTAATTCCTTCCCATTAAGCGCTGGCCACTTATTAGAAAAACCCAAAATTTTTTTCCACAAGGAATCTTGAAAGTGATTGACCATTTGGGTAATGAACTATAAAATGATCCCTGAAGTCAACCTTTTAAAATCAGGACCTTCTCCTCACATTCTTAGGTTCTGTGCAGTCTTTGTCTGTGGTGGAGCCTCACTTTCCTAGCTCTGCCCTGTAAACACGTAGGTGTTTACTTTGTGTAGTTTACCACTGAAGTCCTGCATAGCCTTTCAGGCTCATTTCAGGTGAGAAAAAGTTAAATTTGTGTTGGTTTAACGCTGAACATCAAGTAAATAATAATTTCATCTGATATATGCCACACTGCCACCCCCACTGCAGATCATCTGGGCAAATACATGCTCCACCCCTGAACAAGGTTATATAGAGCAGAGGCCAGAGTCACAGGCAGGGCAGGCCCCTCGCTATAGAGTGAGCATGAGTCTCCCAAGTGACCCCGCAGTGGCCTCGCGTCATCTGAGGTGCAGGTGGTTGGCAGCAGTAAGTTCATGGGAGTTCCCTTGGGCAGACCCAGGGCAGAGAAATACTTGTGTTGGCAGCTGCGCCTCGACCTCCAGGCAGCTTTTCTGGTTCTCACTTCTGGGTGCTAGAATAGCATGTCGCTGCAAGTGACTCACGCCAGCTCCATGGAGTTCAGTGTCCACGGAGCCCCTGTGGAGAGCTGGGCAGAGAATGCATGGCCCTGGCAGCCCTGGTTTCTCTTGAATTGAGGTTCTGCCACTGTATAAGCTATAGTCACTCTCCCTTTTTTAATCAGAAGAGAAACTAAGTTGCCATGTCATTTTCGGATTTCCCAGAATAGCAGAGATGTTTTGCTAGAGTCAGTGTAGCACACGTGCTTCTGAATCTGACTGGCTTCAGCAACAGGACATGCTTCACCTGCCTTCTCCGCACCTGGTGTGGCCATGCGCTGTGTCCCCCTGCCCGCCAGGACAGGGGTGGTCTCACCTCATGGCTTGGCAGGAGTCTTGAAAGCACCATGCCTCTATAGCCACATAACTGTACCTCCAGCTTCTGTTCCCGTAACGCCTCCTGGACACCTGAGACGTTTCTACTAAACAAGCTTAGGAACTAGAATCAAACTTCACTTTTTAAGTCAATTGTAACTTTTTAAGTCAATTTTTAGAGGAGGATTTCAGATGGCTATAGATTCCTGGAATCTTTCCTTTGTAGAAAATGAATATTTGTGAGGAAGACTAATTCAGCCTTAGGCTAGTTCAGTCCACAACACCCACAGAACTGGGGGTTTCTCACCACAGCCTTTATCTGGACATGAACACTTTCTTCCTCCCCCAGGCTTGTGGAAGACGAGGAGAGGCGCTGGACTGACGAGAACATTGACATGGTTGCCCTGAAGCACTTCCCGAACATAGACAAAGAGAAGGCGGCAAGCCGGCCCATCTTGTACAGCAACTGGCTGTCAAAGGTGAGTGCTCCCTGCCACTGCAGCAGTCCTTTTCATTAGAGCTTGTCCAGTCAGCAGGCCTGTCTTGAAGGGCACTGCCAGTGAAGCTGGGGTTACGGCCGACGTAGGAGTTGTGTGTGGCAGTGGATGGTTGGGGTGGGACCCCAGAGTGTGGCTGGCTGGCTGCCAGCTGTGTGCTGCTCGCCCACAAGAGGGCACTGCAGAGGTGATGAGTTTGTAAGCACAGGAGTCACCTCCGCCTGAAGCCAGTTTCAGCTTTGCTTTCAATTCTCACTGAAAACAGGGCAGTTGTGACTGATTTATGTGAAAATGGCTCATGCACAAACATACTAACAGAGGTGACATTTCCAGAGTGGCTGTGAATTGTCCTTTTCTCTGAAAAAGAGAGAAGGACGTTTGAGCAGATCTCACTCTCCATGCATTTCACACACAGGCCCTACTGGTGCCAGGTCTTAAGGGTATCACAGGCCTTTCATTGTCAGCAAGGGCCCGTCAGAGGCAGGACATCATGAGGTAGGTTTTTTTAGGAGGTGCTAGAATTTTCTGTTGCTAGACTCTATATACTCTTTCACTCACAGGCAGCACCTGCCCATGGCTTGCCTTGACACTGTGTATGGCTTCTTGAAGAACAAACATTCCTAACCACAGTCACGGAACAGCTCTTTGTTTAGTTAGGTCTTCTGCTATGTCTTCCAGTGAAGTTCAGTTTGTATCGAAATTTTGCATGTTTTTTAGGTCAAGTTAAATTACACTTTGTTGGTATGTTGTAAATGACATCCGGTAGCATTTAAAAACCACTTAATAAGCATATGTAGAAATGTAATTGACTTTGGTGTAATAACTAAGATGGTTTCATCTTAGTAACTAGGGTCCTACCTTTCTCCCTATAGGATTACATTCCAGTAGACCAAGAAGAGCTGAGGGATTATGTCAAAGCTCGGCTGAAAGTCTTTTACGAGGAGGAACTCGATGTCCCTCTGGTCCTGTTCAATGAGGTGTTAGACCATGTGCTCAGGATTGACCGGTAGGTTCTGTTGTTACGGCCTCGCCGTGTGCTCTGAGTGTGGTTGGGAAGCATGTTTATGCCAGGCCCTGTGCCACGCTCCTGACTGACCCCCGCCTCCAGCCCTGCCAAGTGACTGCCCTCTTCCACTAAGTGGCTTAACTGCCCTAGACTTACCCTGCTGCGCAGAATTCCTCTGCTCCTCCTCACACCTTCTGACCGCCGTGATCACAGTCCTTTTAGCCTCAGCGGGTCCTGGGACTATCTCGTGTCATCTCAGTAGCTGGAGGCAAGGTCATGTCTTATGATCTTTGTGTCTCCACTGGACTCCAGATAACAATTATTCAAGAGCTGTTTAATGTAGCAAGTTAAAGCATATTCGAAATGTTGTAGACAAAATACTTAAGTAGCTTAGGACATGACTGTCTAAGGGGGTAGAGCCTAAACACCTTCAAAGGTTTCCTTTCTGACAATGTTGTAGAATATTCCGTCAGCCTCAAGGCCACCTGCTTCTGATTGGTGTCAGTGGAGCAGGAAAAACCACCCTCTCGCGCTTCGTGGCCTGGATGAATGGCTTGAGTGTGTACCAGATCAAGGTGAGTTTTGGCCTCACGCTCCCAGCCCCCATGTGGACTCTGGCACGTTGCTCCCTGTGTGGGCCAAGCCTGATGTTCGGCTGCTCCTCTAGGTCCACAGGAAGTACACCGGGGAAGACTTCGACGAGGACCTCCGGACGGTGTTGAGGCGTTCTGGGTGTAAGAATGAGAAGATAGCCTTCATCATGGACGAATCCAACGTGCTGGACTCTGGCTTCCTGGAGCGGATGAACACCCTCCTGGCCAACGGAGAGGTATTACTGGGCACCCTCCCCCTGCGCACTGCACCCCGCAGCCGTGGGCTGTGGGCACCTGCGAGTGACAGTGCCATTTGGCTTCCTAGGTGCCCGGTCTCTTTGAGGGAGACGAGTACGCCACCCTGATGACCCAGTGCAAGGAGGGAGCCCAGAAGGAGGGCCTGATGCTGGACTCGCACGAGGAGCTGTACAAGTGGTTCACCAGCCAGGTCATCCGCAACCTGCACGTCGTCTTCACCATGAACCCCTCCTCGGAGGGGCTCAAGGACCGCGCCGCCACATCCCCAGCGCTGTTCAACAGGTACCCCCCTCACACGGCTCCTCCCAAGTGCTGCCCTACCCCCAGTAGCTGTTGCAAGACACAGGCCTCTCTTTCAGGTGTGTGTTGAATTGGTTTGGGGACTGGTCCACTGAGGCGCTGTACCAAGTCGGCAAAGAATTCACAAGTAAAATGGACCTGGAGAAGCCCAACTACATCGTACCCGACTACATGCCGGTCGTGTACGACAAGCTGCCGCAGCCGCCCACACACCGGGAGGCCATCGTGAACAGCTGCGTGTTTGTGCACCAGACGCTTCACCAGGTAGGTCCCTCGTGAGAGCGCGGAAAAGGCGAAACCCACCATCTCAGTAACACTGCCGTTGGCAGACCCTCGCTCTCCCAACCCCACACTTCACCGCTCCTACAGGCAGCTATCTGCGCCTCACCTGCCTCGTTACCTCCATTAATGTCATTTTGCCCAGCCCTTCCCTCCCCCACTGCTGGCCTCTGTAAAGAGCCTCTGCTGTTCCCTTCTCGGCCCACTGTGCATCCAGGCCCTTGTTCTCACTGGACTTGGGGTCTAGAAACACTTTCCTCACAGGGCCAGGCCACCGCTCTGCCCTGCCTGGTACGCTGGCGTTGCCTCAGCAGAAGACTGACGTGCCAGTGCCCTGCAGAATCTCTGCTGGCAAGGCGTGTGGGGGCGTGCAGGGGCAGGCCTCCACCTACTGCCAGGCTTGAGACTCTGATAGAAGAGTCCATTGTCTGTTCCCCAAAGGCTTTATAATAACCACTTTGAGATTGGGGTGGTTTTGTGGGCTTCTGCCCTCTTTCTCTCCCCCCACTGCACGTGCAGGCACCCCTGTAGCTTCCGGAATCTAGTTCAGCCTTGGCCTTGCTAATCTCATCCCCCCACTGGCCAGAGGGGACCAGAGTCCCATCTTTTTTGAGGGGCATCTCTGCGGAGGCCACACTCGCCTTCCTCACCTTGGAGGGGTCAGAGAAAAAGTAGGTTTCAGGGGCTTCCTGCAATGTCACATGGTGACCCCGGGGCTGGGTCCGAGCCCCCATGTGCACTGCGATGCCACAGGCAGGGCAGTGGTTAGGGGCTTCTGAGGGTGAATTGCAAGAATGCTCTGAAAAGTGAAGAGATCGGGCTTTCTTCTTTGAAAGGCGAATGCCCGGCTGGCCAAGCGAGGTGGCAGAACCATGGCCATCACGCCCCGCCACTACCTGGACTTCATAAACCACTATGCCAACCTGTTTCACGAGAAGCGCAGCGAGCTGGAAGAGCAGCAGATGCACCTGAACGTGGGACTCAGGAAGATCAAGGAGACCGTCGACCAGGTGCACTGCTGGCACTGGCCTCGCTTGCTGGGGCCTGGGGTGGAGATGACCCTTGCAAGGTAATCTGCTCTCTGACATGGCTTTTGTCCTTCAGGTGGAAGAGCTGCGTCGTGACCTGAGGATAAAGAGCCAAGAGCTAGAGGTCAAAAATGCGGCCGCCAATGACAAGCTGAAGAAGATGGTGAAAGACCAGCAAGAGGCTGAGAAAAAAAAGGTGCTTTTTTGTTCCAGGGACTGCAGGGGGCAGTGGGGGAAGGGGTGCAACATGGTGTGAGGGCTGCTGTTCAGGCCTCACACCGCTGGTTAACCAGTGCCCCCAGAGCTGAGTCACCCCTGTCTTCTAGGTCATGAGCCAAGAAATTCAGGAGCAGCTGCATAAGCAGCAGGAAGTCATTGCAGACAAGCAGATGAGTGTGAAAGAGGACCTCGACAAGGTGGAGCCAGCCGTCATCGAGGCCCAGAATGGTATGTGAGTGCTCCCTGGAGGAGCAGTGAGGCTGCAGTGTCGGGGTCCAGCACCCATGTCAGTAAATGAGGCTTTCCTAAGTGCTTAGGGTCACCGTGTTGCTGAAGCCAAGCTCCTTTCTGAAAGCTAGTCTGCTCATCCTAGTTAAACCCTCACGAGGGAAAGCTGGCAAAAGAAGCTTTTACATCAGTACAGTTTTTAAGAATCTGGTCTGGTGGTGATGACGTCAGCATTACAAGCCCAACATGATTTTCACCAACACATGCTGGGACGTTGCAGCACGTCCTGGCCATGCTGTGTAGGGCCAGTTCCAGTGCTGACATCAGCACTGGGTCCTCACGCGCTGTAGAAGAGCAGTGGCCCTTGCGTCACACGGTCCTCAGTGCCTCTGCCCATGCTCCTTCCTGCCCACCGTGTGTCACTGTTCCAAGTGACCTCGTTACCAGTAGCTTTCACGTTAACACCACAAGCTGAATCCAGATGCACCATGCAAACTACAGAGTGCTGTTCACAGCCGAATTCAGACAGGAATCTGATTTCTCACCTGCTGAGTAATTACTGAACAGGTGCTTGAATCAAGCTTTAGGCTGGAAAACTCCACATTTCCATGTGTGGCAGGCGTTGGCCATTTTTTTGCAACTGTTAATTCCATGTCTTTACCAGGCCAGGCACACTTACAGATTGTGGCAAGTTGACAATGTCTTTGTTGAAAAATTTTAGAAATGTATTATTAAATTTTTTTCCATATTCATGGAGGTAAGGATAAGGTTAAGGAGAAATTGGGTGGCTGTTTACCCAACTTGTTAGCCACAGAACTTTCATATTTAAAAGATCGGCTATTATATTAAAAAATAAATAAGGAAAAAGTAAAAGATGTGCTATTTAAAGACAGTCCATTTGGGCCTCCCTTCTGGCGGCCCCTCCCCACTGCCCTTGCTCCTCCGCAGCCGTCAAGTCCATTAAGAAGCAGCACCTGGTGGAGGTGCGCTCCATGGCCAACCCCCCTGCCGCTGTGAAGCTGGCGCTCGAGTCCATCTGCCTGCTGCTGGGGGAGAGCACGGCGGACTGGAAGCAGATCCGCTCCATCATCATGCGGGAGAACTTCATCCCCACCATCGTGAACTTCTCTGCTGAGGAGATCAGGTCAGTGGGGGGTGTGGGGACTGTGGCCAAGGGCCTCTGCTGGCATCTGCTGGGTGGACCAGTGACCGCAGAGTCCTCACACCAGGACCCACTGTCCCCTGGGGTCAGGCTTATCCCCGTGGCCATCAGCGTGCCAGTTGGGGACTGGCCTTTACATTTTAAATTCCTAAGAACTCTGCTTTACTTTGCGCTGCATGCACTTCTAAACAATCCCTCTCTTGCAGTGATGCCATCCGGGAGAAGATGAAGAAAAACTACATGTCCAACCCCAGTTATAACTACGAAATTGTCAATCGGGCTTCCCTGGCCTGCGGCCCTATGGTTAAATGGGCAATCGCACAGGTAACTGCACGGCCTGGCATTCCTGCACGTGGGGCCCACCTGCCGGGTCACTCCCGGACAGTGGTGCCAACTTGTTCCCTCAGCTCAACTACGCGGACATGCTGAAGCGGGTGGAGCCCCTGCGCAACGAGCTGCAGAAGCTGGAGGATGACGCCAAGGACAACCAGCAGAAGGCCAACGAGGTGGAGCAGATGATCCGCGACCTGGAGGCCAGCATCGCTCGCTACAAAGAGGAGTACGCAGTGCTGATCTCCGAGGCCCAGGCCATCAAAGCGGACCTGGCTGCTGTTGAAGCAAAAGTAAGATTGTCCTCCCGGGTGCACACTGCCTGCTCCTCTGAGACACCACCGCTGAGTGGTTTGATAGTCGCTCTCCGGCCTTGGCGGGCAGAGCCGAGGGGCGCGCACCTGACCTGTGCTGCGTGTGCTCCGTGCCTCCTCGCGGGCAGCTCTGGGGGCTCCCACTGCCTGCATGCCAGGGTGTGAATTAGGACACACCCAAGCTGGGCCTCCAAAGCCACTGACCCCTGTAGCCAGCTTGTCCCACCTTAAGCTCCTGTTCAGGCCCCTACCACTGCCGCCCCCTCGGTCACATGCACGCCTCTTGGATCAGCCTCAGTCTCCCGCCACTGGTGCTGCCTCCTGTCGCATCCTTCACCCCACTGTTCCTCTTCCCTGCAGCTTCTCCTTACTGCCCCCTGTTCACACACAGTCGAGTCTGCGCTTCCTTCAGCCTGACTGTTCTAAGGTTTACTTGTCCTCCATCACCTGTGTTCCGGGTCCTGCCCATGATCGTGAACAACTGGGGCGCTTCTGTTTCTAGCCCAGCCAGACCCTGCCCCAGCTCGTGCTTCCAGTGTCTGTCCTGGAAGCGCTCCCCAGCCTCTGAGCGCCGTCTGGCCTTCCTCATAGGTGAACAGGAGCACCGCCCTTCTGAAGAGCCTGTCTGCGGAACGGGAGCGGTGGGAGAAAACAAGTGAGACTTTCAAAAACCAGATGTCCACCATCGCCGGGGACTGCCTCTTGTCGGCCGCGTTCATCGCTTACGCGGGCTACTTTGACCAGCAGATGCGCCAGAACTTGTTCACTACCTGGTCCCATCACCTGCAGCAGGCCAACATCCAGGTACCCTCCAAGGCTCCAAACCGCGCGTGGACATGTGGGCCGGAGTTGCCGGCGCCCAGCAGCCCTCCCTTGTGCTGCCTGTGGCTCTGCAAAGGGAGGGTAACGCCCTGGCCTTTCAGTTCCGCACAGACATTGCCAGGACGGAGTACCTGTCCAATGCCGACGAGCGCCTGCGGTGGCAAGCCAGCTCCCTGCCCGCAGACGACCTGTGCACGGAGAACGCCATCATGCTGAAGCGGTTCAACAGGTGCGTCCTGCAGAGGGCAGGGGGCCAGTGTCCGGGTGCTCCAAGCCAGCGGCCCCACTTTGTTCAAAACACTTTTATCTGCGACCTGACCAAGACTGGGAAAGGGCACACAATGCTGCCCGCCTGGGACTCGCCACTGGTCAGGGCACACGGGGACCATGCGTCCCCATTGACAGACTCAAGGCCGGAGTAAGACAGACGTTTTTCAGACCTGAAAGCAGAGTTGAGGGGAAATTGCTGTCGGCTTTTCTAAGGAGCCAGGGCAGCAGGATGTGGCACGGACAGTAAGGTGGCTGCAGGTGGCAGGAGTGGTGCTGACCTGTGACCAAGGTTGCCCCCTTAGGGCTTGACCCTCCTCAGGAGCAGCTCTGAAATCCAAAGGTGTTTCCTGTCTTCATTCAAAAACCCTATCCCTAGATTTGTTTTGGTCCCCATAAACACCGTGAATTTCTTTTTTTTTTTTATGTTACTTTAACAACACTGTATACACTTCACGTGCCTGTTGGCATCTGTCTGTCCTGTGCTTCTGCCCATTTTTGACTTGGCGTTGCGCTGAGCTATAGTGCGCTCTGGGCTGTCCGCCATCTGTCAGGTGTGTGTGTCTGCAAACACCCCGCTCAGCAAGCGGTTATTTGAGTGACACCTTCTTTTGCTGTGCAGAACCTTTTTACTTTGAACCTTTGAATCTTCGTGGCACCCATGTCCCAGGGACAGTGTGGGAGGCTCCACTAGGTGTCATCCTTGACACCCAAGCCCTGGGGTCCCAGAGCATGTGTCCAGGTGGTGCTGCTCCCTGTGCAGAGTTGGGCTCGTCCAGTGGGAGCTGTGCTTGCTGCAGGTATTACTCAGCAGCTGCCTGGCACATAGGTGACGTGTCCAACCACACATGAAGGTGGAGTGTGTGCCCGCTGATGGCTGGGAACCCCTCAGCTGGGCCGGTTAACAAATGGCCTTGGGTCACCACCTGAGAGCCAGGGGCCCTTTGGAGCCCTGCAGAGGGCGCTGCGACAACCAGAGGAAAGCAGATGCCGGCAAGTGTGGGGTGTGCCCCCCAGGCCACGTGTATGTTTCACGTGTGCCCAGAAATGGAGACAGCACCCACCTGGGGCTACTCTAGTGACCAGAGCATTATGGGGGAGGGGCTTCTTTTTTGATCTGTGTCCAGTTTCACCCAGTCTTAAGTTTTAAATTTTTTTAACGGTAGCTCTGGACAACAGCTGGTTATATTTCCATACCTCTGGTTCCTCATTTGTGGAAGGGATCTATAGCAGCGCCTCCCACTGGGCTGTTGAGAGGAAGAAGTGACATTGAGTTACTTTCTCTCCGGTGCTGCTGCAGGGCAGGTGGTGAAACCCCCCGTCCAGGGGTGGCGCTCTAGATGGACGCAGATACACGCATGGCAGTTGCCCTGGCAGCACACGCTTAGTGCCGGGAGGAAGCGCACAGGAAGCTAAGCACTGCTGGCCCCAGAGTCCATTCCTAGAGCGGCCTGTGACAGGGCTGCCTCACCACAGACGTGCTCCTGGGAGGCGCTTGGCATAGAGCCTTTAGCATTTGGAGACTGGGAACCGTGCCTGTGGGGGGGGCAGCTTCCTGCTCTCCCAGGCTCCAGGGCTGGGCCCGGGTGCCTCAGCTTGCTCCTCCGCCTTCCCTGCAGGTACCCACTCATCATCGACCCCTCCGGGCAGGCCACCGAGTTCATCATGAATGAGTACAAGGACCGCAAGATCACGCGCACCAGCTTTCTGGACGATGCCTTCCGGAAGAACCTGGAGAGCGCCCTGCGCTTCGGGAACCCCCTCCTGGTCCAGGTGCGCATGTGGCCCCCAGTGCACTTGCAAGGGCTGCTTGGGATTGTTCACACACAGCTGATGTGGAATAAGGCTAGGCATACCACAGAAACTGGCCATCCCGATTTTAGAGCAAGGAAAAGGCTTTGAGGTAGTTCTATAAAAAGTGAACCCAATGAGCACAGCGTAAGCACCAGTTCACCTCATGTCCAGGGCCACTCTCACAGGTGGCTGTGCCGGGGCCTGAGCTGCAGTCAGCACCACACGTAGCCGATGGCTGCTGCCTGACGGTGTGGGTCGGGGTGTCTAGGTTTGTCGGGAGTGCAGTGTCACCATCAGCACAGTGTTGCTGAGGCCAAACACTGCAAGGCTGAATCTCGGGCTCCGCATGTGTGCAGGATGTGGAGAGCTACGACCCGGTCTTGAACCCGGTGCTGAACCGCGAGGTCCGGCGCACAGGGGGCCGGGTGCTTATCACCCTCGGGGACCAGGACATAGACTTGTCACCGTCGTTTGTCATCTTCCTGTCCACCCGGGACCCAACGGTAAGTGCGGGGCCTGCTGCGTGGACGCGTGGCACAGCCACGGAGGCACAGAGGGGACAGGCTGACTTCCCAAGGCCCTTGGCAGGTTGAGTTCCCACCGGACCTCTGTTCCCGGGTCACTTTTGTCAACTTCACGGTCACCCGTAGCAGCTTACAGAGCCAGTGCCTGAATGAGGTGCTCAAAGCAGAAAGGCCCGATGTGGACGAGAAACGCTCTGATCTTCTCAAGCTCCAAGGTAAGTTCCAGGCAGGCAACTTCTGTAGGCTCACGGGCCAGGAGGCGGGGCCTTTGAGGGTGCAGCCGGCCAGGTTGTGCAGGCGCCCCAGTGACCCTGGGCCTTTGTCCTTCAAGGGGAGTTCCAGCTCCGGCTGCGCCAGCTGGAAAAATCTCTGCTGCAAGCCCTGAACGAGGTGAAGGGACGCATCCTAGATGACGACACCATCATCACTACGCTGGAGAACCTCAAGAGAGAGGCGGCCGAGGTGACGCGCAAGGTGGAGGAGACCGACATCGTGATGCAGGAGGTGGAAACCGTGTCCCAGCAGTACCTGCCACTCTCCACCGCCTGCAGTAGCATCTACTTCACCATGGAGTCTCTGAAGCAGGTGGGCCCTCCCCCTCCCTGGGGCCCAGAGCCCAGCCGGGGCCTGTGCCCACCTCACACCCCCTCTGCCTCTTCAGATCCACTTCCTGTACCAGTACTCCCTCCAGTTCTTCCTGGACATCTACCACAATGTCCTATACGAGAACCCAAACCTGAAGGGCGTCACCGACCACACACAGCGACTCTGCATCATCACGAAGGACCTCTTCCAGGTACAGTGGGGCCTGCGCCCATGCCCGGAGGGAGCAGCCCTGGTGAGTTCCTGGGGGTCAGCGGCGTCTCCTGTCTTTGTCCCCAGGTGGCATTCAACCGGGTGGCGCGAGGCATGCTACACCAGGACCACATCACCTTTGCCATGCTGCTCGCCAGGATCAAGCTCAAGGGCACGGTCGGGTAAGGCCAGCCACCCCCTCCTTCCACTGAGCGCCATTGCACTCCCCTCCCCCCCAAACCCACTGCCATGAGCACTGTGGGACCATGAGCTTTCATTAGAGCTCTGGTGACAGTGAGGGATGACCAAAGAGACCTTCTCTAACCCGTGGCCTCCTTCCTAGCGAGCCCACCTACGATGCTGAATTCCAGCACTTCTTGAGGGGGAAGGAAATCGTCTTGACTGCTGGCTCGACCCCCAAGGTCCAGGGCCTGACCGTTGAGCAGGCTGAAGCAGTGGTGAGGCTGAGCTGTCTCCCTGCGTTTAAGGATCTGATCGCAAAGGTTCAGGCAGACGACGTAAGTATCCAAACACTCCTGGTATAAAGTTGGCCTTCCTCAGGAAATTGGCAACAAGGAGTGAAAGTTGTGTGTCGTGTTTGTCACTCTCAAGTCACATCCACCCTCTCTGCCCCCTGCACCGTGGTGATGCTGTCCCTCTTGTCTCCTCAGCAATTTGGCATCTGGCTGGACAGCAGCTCCCCAGAGCAGACGGTGCCCTACCTGTGGAGCGAGGACACCCCTGCCAGTAAGCCCACCAGCGCCCCTGGCATCCTGTGCCCCCGGGTGAGGGTGGGCTCTGCTGCCTGAGCAAATGTACATGTCCCCCAGATCACAAGCTGCCAGCCTACAGATAAGTTCAGTGTTGCAATGCCAGGCATTGGCTTGGAAGCGGGAGAGCAGCAAAGTTGGACCAGAGAGGGTGGGGTTGTCCCTTGCCCAACACCAGGGCAAACTGGCTGTTTCTGCGTGCATCACTGAGGCCCAGGCAGTGGGGGAGGCGCGCTCCCAGCTCCCATAGAGAGGCCTGGGAGGCATGTGATGTCATAGGAGGACTCGCAGAAGACACAGGAGGTGGTCACCGTTCTCCTGGGTGACCTGGGCAGAGAGCAACAGAGCTGCGGTGTGGTTTCTGAGGACTTGGACTCTGGAGACTTTGCAAAGCCAGGTTGTAGCATGAACAGTCCAGTGGGGGCATCTCAGGGTCTGCTTCACCGGCCACCAACCCTTCTCGGCCCCCTTGCAGCACCCATCGGACAAGCCATTCACCGCCTGCTCCTGATTCAGGCCTTCCGGCCCGACCGCCTGCTAGCCATGGCCCACATGTTTGTTTCAACGAACCTCGGGGAGTCCTTCATGTCCATCATGGAGCAGCCACTGGACCTGACCCACATCGTGGACACAGAGGTACTGCGCTGGACCCCGCAGACGCCCAGCCGCAAGCTCCAAAGGCCAAGTGCCTGCTGTAGACTCGGCCCTTGCCAACTGCCAGCACACCGCTGCAGGCCTTCCCCCTGGGGCGTGCCATGTGAGGCACGGAACTGAGCCCTGTCTCCTCCCACCGCAGGTAAAGCCAAACACACCTGTGTTGATGTGTTCTGTGCCTGGTTATGACGCCAGCGGGCACGTGGAAGACCTGGCAGCGGAGCAGAACACTCAGATCACCTCGATTGCCATCGGTAAGTGGCTGGTCTGTCCAGTGGGCTGAAGCCCCACAGGACTCGTGGGCACAGACCCCTGAGACCACCATGCTGACACTGAGCTTTCTGGCACCAGGCTCGGCAGAAGGCTTCAACCAAGCAGATAAGGCCATCAATACCGCTGTGAAGTCCGGCAGGTAGGCCTGTGTGTCTTAGAAAGCCCAGTCCCCGCGGACTCAGGCCAGAGGCCTGCAGCGTCGCTGTGGCTTTGCCTATGCAGGTGGGTGATGCTGAAGAACGTGCACCTGGCCCCGGGGTGGCTGATGCAGCTGGAAAAGAAGCTGCACTCCCTGCAGCCGCATGCCTGCTTCAGACTCTTCCTCACAATGGAGATTAACCCCAAGGTGGGCAGCGGGCACGAGATGTTGATGTTACGGCTGGTGTGGCAGCTGTTGGAGGGGGGCGTGCTGAAGCAGAGTGACGGGACCCTGTCCCCCACAGGTGCCCGTGAACTTGCTCCGCGCAGGCCGCATTTTCGTGTTCGAGCCGCCCCCTGGGGTGAAGGCCAACATGCTGAGGACCTTCAGCAGCATCCCCGTCTCACGCATCTGCAAGGTAAGGAAGGCCTCCTCCTGGGGTCTGGGGCCACCGCAGAGGGGGCCACGACCTCCCCAGAGGCCAGTGTCTGCTCTAGCCTCTGACCCCACTTGCACAAGCCCTGTGGCGGGCCCTACTCCTGAGAGGGATGGCGGCATGGGGTTTGGCTACAGTGGGTGATGGTCAGGCTCCCACAGGAGCAGACGCCCCACTCTCGCTGGAACCTCGGTCATCCTCCCAGAAGCCTGGGAACCGGAGGCCACACTGTGTGCCCCGGGCACTGAGCAGAGGCTGAGGCTGGCAGCAGGGGTGGAAGGGCGTGGCGGGCACTCCCATTTCTGCCATGAGCCATCTTTTCTGATGTTCTTAGAAATTTCGTTTTTAGTGTAGTTTTCTGTGAACTGAATAGCAGCAATACCCACCGTGGCGCCTGCCCGGCTGCTCCCTGGTCAGGCAGGCCAGGCTTGGTACGTGATTGGCTCTGCTCAGAACTTCAATTTCAATGCGGGGTCCACACCTCCCTCGCCCCCAACGTGGTGCTTGCTGCCCTGGTGACTCTGCCCTCTGATCCCGTGCAGTCTCCCAACGAACGCGCCCGCTTGTACTTCCTGCTGGCCTGGTTCCACGCCATCATCCAGGAGCGTCTGCGTTACGCACCCCTGGGGTGGTCCAAGAAGTACGAGTTTGGGGAGTCTGACCTGCGGTCGGCCTGCGACACAGTGGACACCTGGCTGGACGACACAGCGAAGGTGCGTGCAGCTGCACCCAGGAGGGTGGGTGCTGGCTCCACATGCCCAGCAGGTGGTGGGGTCCTGCCCTCTAAGAGCTGCCCCTCCCACCCCTGACTGCTCTTCCCCCCCAGGGAAGGCAGAACATCTCTCCAGACAAGATCCCCTGGTCAGCCCTAAAGACGCTGATGGCCCAGTCTATCTACGGTGGCCGTGTGGACAACGAGTTCGACCAGCGCCTGCTCAGCACCTTCCTGGAGCGCCTCTTCACCACCAAGAGCTTCGACAGCGAGTTCAAGCTGGCCTGCAAGGTGGACGGGCACAAAGACATCCAGATGCCGGATGGCATCAGGTGGGGCCTGCTGCCCGTGACAACCTGGTTCGGGATGCTGGGCCATGGGGCGATACCCGTGACGCATTTCCTGGTGCTGGTTTTCCAGGCGAGAAGAGTTCGTGCAGTGGGTGGAGCTGCTCCCTGACACCCAGACGCCCTCCTGGCTGGGCCTGCCCAACAATGCCGAGCGAGTCCTCCTCACCACCCAGGGTGGGTGCGCGCCTGGCCCCTGGGCACCTCCCCTCCCTGGACACCATGGTGTGGGGGGCGGGCAGAGAACATATTTAGCCTGGGGGTGTCTTTTCTGTGCCAGAAGCTAAGTTTTTGGCCAAAGGCTTCATATTTTTAAGTGACTTGCAGCCTCTGGCGCCGGTTGTGGGGGTGTGGGGATGTGAGACTGAGGCCTGGTGGGCACAGAGGGGTGGGCAGAGCCAGCAGCTCTCAGGGCAGCTCCTGCCCACCAGCTCTTCCGCCTCGCTCTTGGGCTTCACAGTGGCCTCCAAGTGAGGAGGAAGTGGCTTCTGTGGCCGGCAGCTCCTCTGGGCGCCTCCCCACACTTCTGACTAAACTGTTTCCTGTGCTTCTGAGCGTGTCCCATGTCCCTCGGGACACCTTTAACCTGTCAGCATGTCACGTGGCCTTTACATTCAAGTTTTCTGGTCCCCACCCCCTGTGGCACCCAGGCGTGGACATGATCAGTAAGATGCTGAAGATGCAGATGCTGGAGGACGAGGACGACCTGGCCTACGCCGAGACAGAGAAGAAGGCCCGGACGGACTCCACATCCGACGGCCGCCCCACCTGGATGAGGACGCTGCACACCACCGCCTCCAACTGGCTGCACCTCATCCCCCAGACGCTCAGCCACCTCAAGCGGACGGTGGAGAACATCAAGGTACGGTGGAGGGGGGAGCCAGGCAGAACACAGTGTACCTGCAGCAGTCAGAGGGTCGTGCCTGGGGCCGGCCCATGTGAGCCAGACTGATGAAAGCCCCTGCCCGCAGAGACTGCCCAGAGCTGCCCTCGGGCTGGGCCAGGCGGGCTGTGAGGGGCAGCCCTGAAGGCCAAGCGCCTTCTTCTGACCGGGGGCCTTCTCCCTTCTCTCAACAACCGCAGGACCCTCTATTCAGATTCTTCGAGAGGGAAGTGAAGATGGGTGCTAAGCTCCTGCAGGATGTGCGCCAGGACCTCGCGGACGTCGTGCAAGTGTGTGAGGGGAAGAAGAAACAGACCAACTACCTGCGCACGCTCATCAACGAGCTGGTGAAAGGTGTGGCGCTTGGCGGGTGGGGCGGCCACGTCCTCCTGCACAGAGCAGGATGTGGGCAGGCCTGGAGGTGCTGCTCCTGTAGTTCGGGTAGGGCAGGGGGGCAGGTAGGAAGGGCTGGGGAACCTGTGTCCGTCATCAGCCTGCTGTGCCACAGTTGGTGGCTGCGTCCTCAGCATCACCCACACCCGCCTGGGCATAGCATGTGGGGCCGGGCCAGCGGAGGCCTGTCCCCCGTCCCAGTGGGGACTGGCCATGATTGAGACCGGGTCTTCCCTGCTCGCAGGCATCTTGCCTCGAAGCTGGTCCCACTACACGGTGCCCGCTGGCATGACCGTCATCCAGTGGGTGGCCGACTTCAGTGAGAGGATCAAGCAGCTACAGAACATCTCACAGGCGGCAGCGTCAGGCGGCGCCAAGGAACTGAAGGTGCGAGGCCGGGGGCAGGGGAGCTGTCCGGGGCTTGGGGGCCAGGGTGGGGGACAAGCCCAGCCCAGGGTCGGCGGAGGCAGGTGGGCTCCCTCATGCAGGCCGCTTCCTCCCTCAGAACATCCACGTGTGCCTGGGGGGCCTGTTTGTGCCTGAGGCCTACATCACAGCCACGAGGCAGTACGTGGCCCAGGCCAACAGCTGGTCCCTGGAGGAGCTCTGCCTGGAGGTCAATGTTACCACCTCCCAGAACACCACCCTCGACGCCTGCAGCTTCGGAGTCACAGGTGAGGAGGGTCACAGCAGGGCTGCCCTGGCCTCTGGCCTGCCCCCGGGGCCTGCCCTCGGGGGCCAGGGGGTGCCCACAGAGCTGGGGGGGGGACCGAGCCAGTGCTTGGTGGGCCGTCTGCGTCCAGCGCGGGCTTCTCCCCCAGGTCTGAAGCTGCAGGGGGCCACGTGCACCAACAACAAGCTGTCGCTCTCCAACGCCATCTCCACCGTCCTCCCGCTGACGCAGCTGCGCTGGGTCAAGCAGACTAACGCTGAGAAAAAGGCGAACGTGGTGAGTGGCTGCCCCCTCCCGGCTCCCACCCCTCCCCTTCCCCCAGGGCCCCCTGTGAGGCAAGCCCCCCACACACACTCCCCACCAGCCTTCCCTCCAGATCACCAGCCAGCTCTCGCCCTTCCCCAGGTGACCCTGCCTGTGTACCTGAACTTCACCCGGGCCGACCTCATCTTCACGGTCGACTTCGAAATCGCCACCAAGGAAGACCCACGCAGCTTCTACGAACGTGGCGTGGCCGTCCTCTGCACCGAGTGAGCTGGCCCGGCCATGTCTGACGCGTGGTCACAGTGCACCAGATGGCATGGCCGGTCTGAGGCGGGAGGGAACGAGGGAAGCCCGAGGGTGGGCAGCGCGGCCCAGCTGACACGGGAATAAAACACTACGCACAAGCCGGCTCTGCTCGTCTGTTCCAGAGGTCGCGCCGGGAGCCCTGTACCCGCAGAGCGGCTGCGCGCTCCACACCATTTAGAACTGGGATCCATCCCGTGACCCCCGAGGCCTGGCCGGGATCCAGGGTGGAGGCTGGGGAGCTTTCCTGTCATGCTGGGGGATGGCGGGCTCACCCTAGCCCCCACATCCACCGCCACCACCCATCCCGCCGTGTCCCTGGCACATTCACACCCAGTTCTGGGGCAGCTGGTGGAGTGACCGCTGTCCACTCAGACATGAACAGCGCGTCCCCAGCCAGCCTACCCCTGCCCAGAGGCACTGCCCCCGGCTGGGACAGGCACACATGAGGGCCAGACTTGGGGAGCAGGGCACCTGCCTGGGATGATGCCGGTTTACTGCAGCCACCGCTCGCTCTGGGAGCTCCTTCCCACCTGATTCTGGAGTGTCCATCGGGGTCCCCAGATGGCCGGGCTGTAGCCCACACCTGAAGACTGGGGCCCGCTCTTTTTTTTTTTTAATTCACCTTCTGTTTGAGATTTATTTTTATTTCTGCATACAAGACTGGGGTGTAGGCCAGAGATGCTGGGGTGGGGGGGTGAGAGGATTCACCAGAGACAGAGCAGTGAGCAGAACAGACGGATCCACTGAGATACACTGCTGAGGGGAGCAGCGGGGAGGCAGGAGAGGTCTGCTGCGCCCTGTGGGTCAGGGCCCTGGTGGGGGATGGAGCTCAGGCCACAGGGGTCGTGACCGCTTGGTAGTGCTGAAACTGACCCCTGTGCCACCATGGAGGCCCTGGGGCCCTCTGGAACCAGTAACAAGCATTTCTAGCATGGAAGCTGGGCGCACTCTAGCAATGTGGGGTGCACCCACAGGAGCCCTGGGTCATTCACATGAGTTCCAAGCACAGGCCAGCAGAGTCCCAGGTGAGGGTTCTGGGGCCCCAAGAGAGCAAAGAGCTGTACCCTGAGGCCCAGCTGCGAGGAAAAAGCAGGAGACGCCATTGTCCAGCCCACAGGCAGGCAGAGCAGACACTGCTGAATGGGCGTCACTGGGACCCACAAATCAAGGGCCCCACTCGGTGGCCATGTCCCTCGTCTTCCGCCTGAAGGGCGGGGCAGGTTAAGAGTGAAGCCCCCACGGAGGGCCTGAGGCTCCCACTTGCCACCCCCACCTGACACCCCACTCCCACTTCTGGGACCACCCACTGGCCCTGCAGCAGGGGGACAGGCTGGACGGTGGCACAGCCCTGTCCCTCCAGGTAGAGCAGGCGGGGTTGGGGTCGGCCCTGTTGCGGGTGTCCCTCCCCGAGGCAGGGCGAGCGCGCCTGGGTGATCTGCTTTTATTGGTGTTTGGACAGCGAGTCCCAGGCCTGCGACGTGGCCCCAGCAGAGGGGCTGGCCCCGGCACTGGCCCCACACTCCGCTCGGTCTGTGCCTGTGAGGAGACACACGGGGAAGGATAAAGGGCCCGGCAGGCAGGCCACAGGCCGGACCGCGACGCAGCTGGCAGGCTGAGCCTGCCCTGTCCCCGGACACTGCCCTGGCCGGGACGGGCACCCGGTGGGTCTGGTGGTCACCAGGGCGGCCGAGGCGCCTGTGCAGCCGGTAGCCTGACCCTGCCCTCAGCCCGAGTGACCCTCACAGCCTCGCCCGCCACCTTGGCCCGTGGTTTGGTCCCATGTGTTTGAATGTTCTTGGAGAAGGGTCTTGTCGGGCCAGCGCGGGACGCTTGCTGGGGACGAGGGGTAAGGGCAGCCATGGAAACCCCAGCGAAGAGGTGGCAAGTTGGGAGAAGAGGATCCCGGGGCCCAGCTCGGATGAAAGGGCTGGTCCTCAGGGGACACGTTCCGGAGCGAGAACTCCCTTGACTCAGCCAGGGCCCCGCAGCCCCTCCCCAGGGGGACCCGCTGTGCAGCCGGGGAGGGGACCTGGCGCCCAGCACAGCCTCCCATTCGCAGGCGCCTCCGCAGGCCGCTCACCTGCTCTAGCTCACATGCTGCTTCCGCCTCTTATGTTTCTCAGGCTCCGCGAGTAGCAGCTCTAGCTTCCTCTTGGAGAGGGACAGCTTGGGCATCCTGTCCCGCTCACTCCCGAGTCTGGGGGCCCGGGCCGCCCTGGCTCGGCCCCGCGTGTGTCTGGCGGGGTCGGGGTGCTCCGCTGCCCTGGGACCCCACTCTCCCCCCAGCCTCCTCAAGTCCGCTGGAGCCCCAGGAAGCCCGGCTGGCCCCATGGGCACCTCAGGGCCACTGGCCTCCACCGGCTGCATGTCCACGTCTGTGGCCCCCAGGGAGGCAGAGGCCCAGCCAGCATCTGAAAGTTTCCACGGTGGCCCTTCTAAGCAGCCTTCTTCCGGGCTCCTGGGCTTGGGTGCGTGGGGAGGCCCAGTGCCACCTGCAGCGCAGCCAGGGCCGCGGCAGGCCCATTGCCAGGGGGCAGCGTCCAGCTCCCCGTCAGAGGGATCTAGAAGCTGAGACAGAGGAGCCTGCACCGGCAATATCCAGGGAGGCAGACGCTGAGCAGGCCAGGAGCTGTCCTGCCCCCATAGGGGGCGCCCCAGGGACTGGGTCCCCCCACTGCCAGGTCTGCCGCTCCCACCTCTGGGTCCCTCTGCCCGAGCAGGCCCAGCCGCCTCCCATGCCACCCCACGCCAGGCCAGGCCTCGTCCAGAGCTGCGGGGAGGACCGAGCCAGGCATCCCCAGTCCCGAAGGGACCTGTCCCCCAGGGCGGCGCGTCACCCCAAGAAGCCGGGTGGCCCAAACGCCTCTTAGCTGCATGGCCAGGGGCAGAGGGGCCTGGTGGAGTGTTCTGGAAGTCTAGGAGCTCCCTCCCAACCTTTCTACCCCAAGCTCTAGTCTTCTGTCCCATCTACCTCCTGCCCCCTTTTCCTGACTGGACAGTCAAAGCCTCCAGAGTCGTCTCCTGAGACTAATCGCTGTCACCTCCTAGCCGACAGCAGGCAGGAGCTCTGTCCGGTCCAGCTGCGGCGGCTCATCCTTCCAGACATGCTGACAGGACGTGATGGCCGGCGAGCACCAGGCGGGTCAGGCCCAGGAAGCACACGCCCCCCTTGTCATCCGCTCACACACCCAGGCTCCTGCCACACGCACACGCCACGCACCACACACACATCACGCACCCGCACACATCACACACTCTAACGGTCCCCAGGGGACGGGGAGGGCCCAGGCCCCTGCCCCGCCCAGGGAGGGTGAGCACAGCGGAAGAGAAGCTGCAGGAGATGGGAGGGAGGAGCAGGATGGGAGCAGGAGGAGCCTGAGGAGGCGCGTGGAGCGGCAGTCGTGTGAAGAAGGCGCGCTGGCCTCTCGCCCGGACTGGACAGGGGCCTGGGGGACGGGGAGGGACACTTGGGAGAGACAGACGCGGGTGAGAGACGCGTGGGGAGGTTAACGATGGCAGCCTTGATTCTGATTTTGATTTTGCTTTTTCCCTCCCAGAGTTGTCCGCCTGTTTCTGACCCTTTTCTGTGGGTCCCCGCTGGAAGGTGCTTTCAGCTGTGGCAGCTTTTGGGCCTTGCTCTGGGCCAATCCCGTTTGGCTGGACTTTTACCCACGAGGGACGGGTAACTTCAGGTGCTCGACTTGGAAACTGTGTTCTTTGCCTTCTCTGTACTGCACGCTAACTACTAAAGTTCCTTTCCATTAAAGCTCTGTGTGCTTGTCTATATGCGGCGGATGGCAGAGCCTATTTCGAGTAGGCGGGTTTGGGGGTTCTGGGTGCCCCTCTCCCTGCCCTGTAACAACAGCACACACACCACAGCCCTGCAGGCCCCTATGTGGTCATCTCACTGGGGGGTCTAACTGTGGGGACACACACACACACCCCACACCCCACCCCCACACCCCAGGGTAAAGTAAAAAGTATCAGGCTTTTCTGCCCTCCGGGAACCCTGCGGTCCTGAATGCATGCCTGATGGCGGCACCTGGAGTAGGGTGTGGGCATACGTAGATGGGATTCACCTGGGCTAAGACTGGGCTTTTAAGGATGGCGTCACGGGGACGCCAGTAGAAGCAGAGAAGCCGAGAGAAGAAGAGAAGCAGAGAGAAGGCCAGAGAGCCCAGACAGAGTGAGGATTGGCTGGGGGCTGGGAGGTCTGCCAGCCTCCCGGCCCCCCAGCACCCCTGCCTGCCACATGCCTGGTAAATCTAAATAAAAAGCCTGCAAAACCCACCAAGGACTCTCTAGGACGCCTTCTTTACCTGGTCTGCTGGATCAGAAAACCTGCACTGTGTCCCTCCTGCCCTGACAATACACCCCCCCCCTTTAAATCTCAGATTCAGAAGCCGAGCAGGCCCGCTGACTCCAGAAGCCACTTCCTTCTCGTGACCCCACCAGAGCCTTCATCCCCGCAAGCCCCCAGCCCAGGCAGGGCGCTGGGGAGGGGGCGGCAGAAGTCGCGTCACAGAGCAAATAAAGTGACAGTGTGAACCCAACTCGGGGGCGCCGGCCAGCCGACCGGCCTCCCAGGCCTACCTCTCTCCAGGAGCTGTCCGCGAAGTCCAGGTGGTGCTTGTTGAGACCGGCCTGGGGAGAAGGAGGCTGACTGGCCTTTCCACGAACTAAACATCAGCAGCTGTGCCCAAGCCAGCCCGAGGGCGCCTACCCCCCATGCCAGCGGCCACTGTCAGGCCGGTCATAGTGGCTGGGCGGGTGGGGTGGACATGGAGAAGACGGAAATGCTCCCAGTCGCTGCCAGCGGGAGGGCGGAAACACCCGTCCCCACAGCACCCTGGACACCTGTCCTGGGCTGAGGCCGGGGGTCTGGAAGACGCCAGGTCATCCGCCCCAAGCCCTCCCCTTACAGCTGCGGGTCTGAGGCCCCAAAGAGGCGTCTCGAAGAACCTGGGGTGCCTCTGGAGACCGCCCCACCCTCCAGACTCTGGAAAAGCAACTCTAGCTTTTTCCTCATCAAGAGAAAGGGTGGGGCCTTGGCCGCCTCTGGCCTGGGGAGGGTGAGGCCGTGAGTCCTCACAGGGCTGGGCCTGGCCTGCTCTTCCCGCCCGTCTCCCGGAGGGCAGGCCTGGAGCACCTTGAGGCGATGGAGCGGGCGCCTCTGTCCCTTCCGGAAGTTGGTCCTGGTGCTGGGGGTGCTGAGCGCAGCCCTGATGCAGGTAGGTCGGCCACACCTTGGCCCAGCCATGGCTTGGGGTCCACCTCCCTGGAAAACACCGGGGTCGGGCGAGGAGGGCGGCCCCAGAAGCTAGAGGTGCCAGGGGTGGGCGCAGCTGGGGCAGCAGCCAGGTGGGTGCCTGGCATGTCGGTCCACAGGAGCGCTGGCAGAAATTAGCCTCTCGGGAAGGCAAAGCCTGGGGCCTGCAGGACTTCCTGTCGCGAAGAGCCGACGGGCAGCGTGGGGGCAGCCCCCGCCCCAGACCCGGTCTTCCCTCTGTCTTCTCACAGAAGCGCATTGGGAAACACGACACGTTCATTGACACAGAAAGTTCCAGAATGTTGGGGGGAGGGGTCCGTGCAACTCAAATGCCCCCCTTTGTTTCGTTTTGTGAAAGATGAAGACAAACCCACACGGGGGCCTGACGCCCCCAGAGTGACACTAAAATCCCAGATTTTCCTACAAAGTTGCTAAAAACATGAAGAAAAACCCACACACCCAAAGATGCAGAGGCAGCGTCGCCCAGAGACCACCGGGCGAGCACAGGCCTCTCGCGCCCCTGGTGACCCCCAGGGCGGGCTTCAGTCGCCACCGGCCCCACTTTCCAGGAGTAACTCGCTTTCCCCGCCAGCTCTCGGGCCTGGAGCCCAGGGTCGCCGGGGCTGCTCTCCCGGACCCCCCACCCCCCGCACCTCCGCCGCACACCTCTGGCCGCGCTGGCCACTCGCACGCGTATCTCAAGTCCCCGGCAAAAGCCAGAATCTGCTGCTGGTCTCCTGCCCTGCAGGAGGTCTGCGCCTCGCTTGGGGTCTGCGTCTTCACCGGCTCTCCTCTTCCGGTCCCGGGAGGCCCCCGGGCCACAGACCCGCGCAAGGAAGTCCTCAATCTGAGACCCCAGACGGTACGCGGGGTGACTGGAAAGCCAGCGCCCATCGGCCAAGTCACCACGGCCCTGCACCCCGCAGAGCAAGGGTGAGCCCGAGGCAGGGCAGGGCCCGGGTCCAGGGCGTGGCCTCACCCGGCGCAGCGGCTGAGCTTGATGCGCTCGCCCCAGGGGCCGTGGGGTCAGCGTGTCCGAGGGGGGCTCAGACCCGGCACAGGAGCTGCGAGGGGCTGTGGCTTCTCAGTCACACCCTCCAGAGGGTCCACTTCCTCCCCAGAGGCTGCCCTCCCTCCCTGCCCCGGACTCAGACTCCTGCCAGCCGCTCGCTCTCGTAACGACGGCACCGCCTCTCCCGAGAGCCACACACCTCGACCTCCAAGCCAGTCCTGCCCGTTAAACTCAATCCCTGAGTGGCCCCAACACCAGAGGCCGCTGGCCCCCGCCTCAGGGGACCCCGCTCTTCCCCCAGCTCTATGCCCGGCCTGGCCGGGAGGCGCTGCAGGTGGCTGGTTCACGTCAGCTGGACTCACCATCCTGGCAGATGTCCCCGGCGAGGGCGTCCAGAGCAGGTGGCTCCAGGACAAGGGGTGGGCCCACATCCACCCCCCAGAGGCGCGGCTGCCCCTAGAGCCGCCCCAGGCTGGGCCTACCTGGAGTCAGGAGAAAGGGGGGGATTCCGAGCAGAGGCCAGGTGGTCTTCCACAAAGATGAGCTTAGCGTCTCCTCTCAAGACCTGGAAAACGGGAGAGAAGTACCATGAGCGCCCCGCCCTCCAGCCACCCAGGGGAAAAGCGGCAGCCGGTCCTGCCCCAGGGAACAGGCACTGGGGTGCGGGTGGGGGACGCTGGTTACCTTCAAGGGCCCTCTGCTTTGGCCTCCAGGTCAGACCAGGAGGTTAAGTCAGCTTTGCTGCTCTGCTATGAGGGGAAAACACGTTTCAAGAGTTTTCAACAAATTCCACACCTAAGCAGGGTCTCGCTCAAGAGCAGGGACCCTGCCTTGTTGCAACTTTGGTTCTGGAAGGGTTCTCCAGCTCCGCGTCCCCAGTCACGCGGGAATGGAGACAGGCAGGGGCCCAGTGCTTCCTTCTCTAACTCAAGGCTGAGCTGGTGGGCCTCCCTGGTGGCGCAAGGGGTTAAGCACTGCACTATGAAGCAATCCGCAGCCTCTGTAGCACGAGTTCGATCCCCGGCCAGGGAGCAATTGACATGGCGCAGCAGACCTCTCCTGTCTCGCAGTGCAGCAGACCTCTCCCGTCTCGCCTGCTGCTCCCCTCAGCAGTGTATTTCATCAGTCTGCCTGTTCTGTTCCCCACTCTGTCTCTGGTGAATCCTCTCACCCCCCGCATCTCTGGTCTGTACCCAGCTCTTGTGTGCATAAATAAATCAATCTTAAAAAAAAAAAAGACCGAAGTGGCTCAGGCTCAGACCTCTGAGGCCGCTCACATTCTGACCATGCCGGCCCGGGTCCCCTGCCCAACCTGCCCTCACAGGGATGCCCGATCGGCCGCATCCCTGCCCCGGGCCAGGGCAGGCTCAGGGGATAACAGTTTACCTGAAACAGGTTAAGGGGGGAGTCGGGAGGCTTCAAGCCCGCCCCCTCCAGACTGAGCTAGGACAGAAGAACGCGACAAAGCAGGTTCCAGCAGGAACTGGGACGCACTGGCCCAGCTGCGTGGCTCCAGCTCCAGAGCAGGAAGACAGCTGAGAAAGCGCAGCCCCTGGAAGGCCGGGCCCCAAGTCAAGGCCCCGCGGGGCAGAAGACACCAGCTGGGGCTTCTGAAGGCCGGACTTGAGGGGTGGAAACAAACCCAAGCCCTCAGACGGTCGCTTTACGCCACGGATGTGGAGCAAAGGGCCATGTCTGGTGGGGCTTGTTCTGAGGGGGCGGCGCTCATTCCTGTGGGACGTGGGGTCTGGATTGGGGCGACCAATGATGGGCCTGTTCTCTCCTCCCGCCAGTTAATTCTTCAGACACCTTCACACCACACTTGGCCACTCGCTCGGCCATAGCAGCACAGGAACGCAAGGGCTTGGCTTGTTCTTGCCTCCTGGGACTCTCCCGCCCCTTACGCTGTTTCAGAAAAGGTCCAAACTCTTGGCTCAAGTTCCAGGCAATGGCGACTAAACTTTTGAGGGCAGGACACACTCCCGCGGCCCCACGTACCTCGTATTCTGAGTCGGCCCCCCGCAGCATGGGCTCTCGCCAGACCCCATGGGCTCACCCAGCTCTACGACAGAAAAACGCAGCAGCGTCAGGGGCAGGAGGCAAACCCCAGGCCCTGAGGCCCATCTCATTCATTTGACCTCACTGTGCTTGAGGGGAAATCACGGCCTTACTTTGGAGAAGTCCGGCCTGGCGGCTGCAGACCCTCACTAGCCCAGGTTAACTGCAGGCGTCCTAGACGCCCCCTGTGGTGGTGGGGGGAGCGGAGGGGGTCCCCACTCCCCAAGCACAGGCAGTTACTGAGGGCAAAGCAGTGTGAACCCCCGCCCCTCCCCCACCCCCAGGCCACCCCACCTAGGAAGGTGACAGGGGTTTCCTCTCAATCCCTCACTCCTCACACCAGGGGGAAACGCAGGCCCCCACAGCAGCCGCTCCCCACCAAGCAGGCCTGACTCCTGGGGAGCGAGGGTCCCCCGTAAGTGGGGCACGGAAGAGGGGTGAGGCCACTCCTGGGGTGGGGCATCATCCCTTCTGTAGGGCAGGGCCCCCACCCTCTTGAGGGTGCCTGCTCACTCGCGGGTCTCAGTTCTGGGCCCTGGCAGCTCTGGATCCTCCAGCTAAAGCAAGACCCATGTCCTGCCCGCCCCTGCAGGGGGGCTTCCAGCAGGCAGCCCCTCGGGGTGCATCTGACCAGCCCTCACCTCCCCCCACTTCCATGCACCTGCCCAAGATCAGACCCTGGCGCGGTGGCCGCCTGGGCTCCCAGAAAAGACGCCCCCAGGTCCCCAGGGCCTGGGGAGTCAGGTCTCCAGTCTGGCCCGCCCAGTAGTGAGCAGCTCCTCAAGGGGGGGTCCCGGGATTCTGACCCAAGGGGTGGGCCTGGGGCCAGGCTCCTGCGGAGCAGTAGGAACTCGCGCTCGCTCTGGGGCGCGGGACAAGGCAGTCCTACCTCCTGAACGGCACGTCCATTTCGTTCCCGGAGTGAGCATTGCGGGGTCTGCAAGGCAGGTCCTGGGGTGGACCTGTGTGACGTCATAGGGACCCCGCTTCACCGCCACTGCACCCCAACCCCACGCACAGGCCCCGCCCACTGCCCCAGGTGCGCCCCGCCCCTCGTGCCCGCGCCCTGGGCGGAGCCTCCGCCCGCTCGCCGGGCCCCTCCCCCGGCTCCGCCCGCGCCGCGCAGCCTGTTGGACGACGTCGTTGTGCCCCAGTCTGCGCGCCCCCGAGCCCCGGGAGGACGACCTAGCCCGCCAGCGCGGCGTCCCGCGGCCCTCGCGAGGACCAGCCCCCGCCACTCCCGCCCCCGGCCGACTCGGGAGGCGGCCCCTGCGCCCCACCGCCCGCTGCTCAGCCAGGGGTGCTCACCTCGCCCCCTCTGGCTTGTTTAACCCCCCCCCCCCGCTTAGTGTGGCACCTCTTCCAGGAAGCCCTCCTGGCTAGCAGCGCCCGGCTGAGCTCCCACAGACCCGCTGTGGGTTGCCTGACAAATGCGCGGCCCCAGGCTGTCATCCTCTGAGCCCAGGGATTTTCACCCCTCACCCCCATGGTACCGGGCACTGTAACTCCCCCAAAGTATATTTTTGTTTTTGTTTTTTTTTTAAGATTTATTTATTCATTCAAGCACTGGGTACAGTCAGAAGCGCGGGAGGGTGAGAGAATTCACCAGAGCCAGAGCGGGGAGCAGAGCAGGCAGAAGAACCGAAGTACACTGCTGAGGGGAGCAGCGGGCGGCAGGAGAGGTCTGCGGGCCATGTGGGCCCCTCACCCCACGGCCGGGGATCAAACCAGCTGCGGGCAGCTTCGCAACCCAGCACTCAACCACTGCACCACCGGGGAGGCCCCCAAAGTATATTTTGAACGATGAAAGGAGCTGGTGACTGCGCCGCAAAGTCTGTGAGCTGCTCAGCCACTTACTGCACCATCATTTTTTAAGTCAGGACGTGTGGCTGCGCCAACCTGCCCTCCTAGATCAAGACTGCCGCCTCCCTGGTCCCCTGCATTTCTGGGTGGACATTAGGCTCAGCTTGTCAGTTTCTGGTACCCCTGGGGTTGTGGCAGGAGCTGCCCAGAATGGGGGCAGTGTGGGGGCAAACTAGGGAAGACCATTTCTGAGGTCTTGGTCTTCCATTTCTTTGTCCCATGTTTTAAACTTCTCAGTGTGCAAGCCTTCATTCTTTCCTTAAGTTTATTTTTTTTTAAGATTTATTTATTTATGCATACAAGAGCTGGGGTGGAGGCCAGAGGCACGGGGGTGAGAGGATTCCCCAGAGACAGAGTGGGGAGCAAAACAGTCAGATCCACTGAAACTCACTGCTGAGGGGAGCAGCGGGGAGACTGGAGAGGTCTGCTGCGCCCTGTGGGTTGCTCCCTGGCCGGGGATAGAACTTGTGCTGCAGAGGCTGCAGTAGCTTCACAGTGCGGTGCTTAACCCCTGCGCCACCAGGGATGCCCCTAAAACAGTTTTTTAATGGTACTAATTTATGGAAAAAACAAACATCTTGTAGGAGCTTCTCGGCTTGTCTGGTCGCATCCTCTTTGGGTCCTTCTGGTCCCGCCCCTCTTCCCCATGAACTAGAACCACCTGCTAGTTTCAAATCTTCCTCACTAAGTTCTCGCGAAGAACATTCTTGAGCCTTTCTCCTTGTGCAGGTGGGCGAGTGTAGGGTAGATGAATTAATCAGGCTCTTTACGCCGCTGGTCTCTGTGGCCACCACCTGCTGCCTTGAGCGTGTTGCTGCAGAGGGTGCGGGGGCGGGCGCGGGCCTGACTGTGGGCACCTGGAGCCTGGAGTGTAGATGCACGCGGCGCCTGGAGGCTGCAGAGCAGCGAGCACGAGCAGCGTGAGGACTGGTGAGGGAGACCCCAATGGCAGGAGAGAGCCTAGAGAAGGAATGTAGAGATTGTGGGGGGCTGGCTACCTGCCTGCTCCTGCCCCCACCAGGGGTGCCCATGCACCTGGTCCCTGAGGGCACTAGAAGCCAGTGAGGTCCACTAAGGGCTCTGGACTGTGAGCCCGGCCTGTGCCTGCCGGCCCGGAGCCAGGCTCTGCCTGGTGCGGCCAAGGGACGGTCTCCAGGGACCCCTGATCACCCACTGCCCTGGAGCGGCTGTCCCAGGCAGGCCTCCCTGCAGGCGGAGAGTTACTTCTGCCAGATACCCCCCAAAACTGGAGGTGATGGACATAGGCTTCTGCCACTCTTTTTTTCCACATTGAGATGTTTTTATCAGGACAGGCCGTGTCCTGGGGTTTACTCCCTGCCAGGAGCGTACTTGTTGGGATGTTGTCTTCTTTTCCTGCCCATGAACTGCTCCCAGGCCCCAGGCACAGTTTGGGGGCAAAGGTTCCACTGGGACCACCCAACTGGGTCCCCCCAGCCCCCCCAAAGTGGCCTCACCTCTGGTGCAGCTTGGCCTCACAGGTGCCAGACCTGCCTCTGGGGGCGGAGGGGTCTGAGCCCTCCAAGGCCTTGCCCAGCTCATCAAGCACAGGAGGCGCCTCCAGGAGGGTGGGGGGCGCGGAGGCCGAGGCCAGAACCCTGCCCCCCTCGGCAGCCAGGCGTTTTCACCGTCCTCCTCGACTTTTCTCATCACACGGCCAGGTAAGGTATTGCCCCCGCAGTGCGCCCAGCCCAGGGACACAGTGGCCTGCAGAGGCGGCGCCCCCTCTGCGCCAAGGACGCCGCTCCCCTGCCTACTGCAGTCTCCTGATGCTGTCCCCCCACCCCGTGGCTGAGCCGCCTCTGCTGCTCATCTGCCAGGTGGAACAGGCATGGGCCACAACCTAGGGGGTAACAGTATTTTTAGAAACGGAAAATGCAGCCTGAAAGGTTTAATTTTTTAAAAAGATTTATTTATGCATACAAGAGCTGGGGTGCAGGCCAGAGGTGTGGGGGTGAGAGGACTCCCCAGAGACAGAGTGGGGAGCAGAGCAGGTGGATCCACTGAAATACACTGCTGAGGGGAGCAGCGGGCGAGACAGGAGCAGTCTGCTGCGCCATGTGGGTATCTTGCGGCCGGCCAGGAATCAAACCTGTGCTGCAGAGGCTGCAACAGCTTCACAGCACTGCGCTCAACCCCCTGGGCCACCGGGGAGGCCCTAAATTCTGATTTTTTAAAAAAGATTTATTTATTTATTTATACAAGCACTGGGTACAGTCAGAAGCGCGGGAGGATGAAGAATTCACCAGAGCCAGAGCGGGGAGCAGAGCAGGCAGAAGGACCAAAGTACACTGCTGAGGGGAGCAGTGGGCGGCAGGAGAGGTCTGCGCGCCATGTGGGACCCTCGCCAGTGGCCGGGGATCGAACCAGCACTGCAGAGGCTGCGGGCAGCTTCTCAGCCCAGTACTCAACAGCTGTGCCACTGGGGAGGCCCTTTAAATTCTGATTTTTAAAAATACAAACTTAAAAACACACAGTGCTGCTTGGGAGCACATGTTAGCCCCAGAACCTTCCACTGCGGTGAGTCTGGAGGCTGGCAGCAGCCCAGCAGAAGGCGGTGTGTTCCCTGCAATCTGCTTGACTCCTTGGCTCGTGGGATCTTTGTTCAGATTTCAATGGTGCTATTAATATACCGTGACTCACTGGAAGCCCCGCTTCCTGGAATGTTCTTCCCGGGAGGTGAAGAGATGCTCCCTCCTATAGAAGAAGAATCTGCAATCCTGCTTTCAAAGGTCTGAGCCAATCTGGAAGGCTTAGAAAAGGGAACAGAAGCTTCCGAAATTACACAAAAGGACTTAAGCAAATTGCCACCCCCCCAGGAGGGGGAGGGAGCCTGGCTTATGCCTCCTGTGCAGTCCATGCAGGTAGCAGGCCCCGCTGGCCTGGAGCAGGGCGCGCAGACAGAGGGAGGCAGATCTCAGACCCTCCGCTGGGGAGGCGAGAAACCTGCAGCTTGGCGAGGGGCGCAGCAAGCAGAGTGGGGGCCGTGGTGCGCCAGGAGGGCGTCATGTGGTCAGGCCAGACGCCAAGGGAATTTAGGCCGGTGCAGAGGGGCCCAGAGGCCACTGCTTAGTGGGCACAGTTGCTGTGTGAGGGAGGTGTTGGAAGCAGCTGGTGGCTTTGACCACGGGACACGGGTCTGGCCGTGAGCGGGCCCTGGCGGTGTGAGTTGCGTGTCCTCGAGATCCACCGAGCTGGGGGCCGCTGCGGGGTGTGAGGTCTTGGGCAGGGGTGCCCATCAGCTCAGGGCCATTGACCTGCAGTGACCCCTCATCCAGAGGCTAGAGGAGAGGCCAACGGGGGCAAAAGGGCTGCCCTTGCAGCTGGGACACAGCTTCGGGACAGGCTGGGCTGACCACAATTTTATTTTTAAAAAGATTTATTTATTTATTTATGCATACAAGAGCTGGGATACAGGCCAGACGTGCGGGGATGAGAGGACTCCCCAGAGACAGAGTGGAAAGCAGAGCAGGTGGAGCCACTGAAATCCACTGCTGAGGGGAGCAGCGGGGAGACAGGAGAGGTCTGCTGCGCCCTGTGGGTAGCTGCCTGGCTGGGGGATCAGACTTGTGCTGCAGACGCTGCAGATAGCTTCATAGCACTGTGCTTAACCCCTGCACCACCAGGGAGGCCCCGATCACATACTTAAAATGGGGACGCTTGTGGGGAAAGCCAGGGCTCCAAGATGGATGGGAGGGGTTCTGGATTCTTCGTCTATCATGAGGGATCGATATCAATACTTTATGAAACTCCAAACTCAGGTGAGGTCCCGTGACCATCACTGTTGCAGCTGGAGGGCAGGTGTGTGGCGGTGTGTTGTGTTCAACTCTAGGTGACAGGAAATTTTTATTATTTATTTATGCATACAACAGCTGGGGTGTAGGCCAGAGGTGCGGGGTTGAGAGGATTCACAGACAGAGTGGGGAGCAGAACAGGCAGACTGACTGAAAAACACTCTTGAGGGGAGCAGTGGGGAGACAGGAGAGGTCTGCTGCACCCTGTGGGTAGCTCCCTGGCAGGGGCTCGAACTCGTGCTACAGTGGCTGCTGATAGCGTCATAGTGCTGAGACTTAACCCCTGCATCA